TCAGGCGCCGGGGGGGGGGGGGGACGGGAATGACAGCAGCCGCATGTCCGAGCTTTGCAGATGTCTTTTCACCCTCGTGGCCTCACATGGGGCAAGAATCCTTCAGCATACTGTACCTCGATCACAACTCAGGATCTTTGATCAACAGTCAGGTTCCGAGAGGACCCGCCTTCGCTTCGATTGCAGGTTCTTTCGAGGGGGCGACTCCTTCGGAGAGGTCTCTGTGTTAGCCGCCACTCCCCGGACGGCTTGGATCATGGCCCGTACCTATTGCATCACCACCAAGGCGGGCAGCGCATGCGTTTCCTTAGGGGGGGTGGGGGGTGGGGATGGAGCCTTTTGTGCGTTGGAAGGGCATGGGCAGTTGGGGAGGGAGGCACGATCTGCTTTTCTGGATGCCGGTCAGCTGAAGCTGAGGTGCACGCATCGAGCCTCATGAAGGTATTGGATGGCCATCCTGGAAGCTTTCTGCTGCTTGTGAGAAACCTGCTGCAGTACCAGGACTTTCTCTCGGGCTGGCTTGATTTGGGCTCTTTTTAGGGGTCAGGATCAGAAAATCACTTGGAGAGATTTGAACGATGCTGGAGTTTTGGGTATGGCGTAAGAACCCTATATGGCAAGCAGAACGCTCGAGGAGTTTTTGCACCACAGTCATCAGATACACAGTTCAGTCGGTGCACCAATTCTGCATGACTCGTTCGTTGGACACATTTCACAACATTGCACCTTGACAGGTGTCAATCCTAGGCGTGAGTAGCTCGAGAGCAGCTTGACCTCGTGCTTGGGCTTTGGCTTGTACGTCATGCCGCCTAGGGCTTGAGCTTGGCATGAGGACGTGCAGGTGGACTGGAAGCTCCCCTGGTCTGAGCTCAAGGCCAAGCTTCGAAAGAGGCACGCCTCCAGCGAACAGGCCTTCAGCCACTTCTCCTTTGGGCGGCTCGGCTTGCATTCTGCACGCTGGACGGTGTGATCCGATCTTTCTTTCACTTGTTTAACTGAGATGCTTGGGGTCCTCCAAGAGCTTCACTTTGCTACATTTGAATAGGCCAGCCCGGCGGCCGTGTGCCCTTGACATTAAAACACGGCAGCTTTTGGGGCCGCTGAGGAAGCCTCTCATCACCCCTGAGAGCTTCGAACTGGCCATGGAGCCCTTTGGCTTACGAGCTGCTCGGCTTGCGCCAGTTCCGATGCCTGCGGAGCATGGATACCAGTACTGTCTGCCACCAGTGGAAACGGTGCTGCAACTGCGTGCAAATGTCATTTGTGGAGCCGCCCATTTTTTTCTCCCACACTGTGTTGTCCCTAAGCTTTTTGAGAGTAGGCGGGTTCAATGCTTCAACACATTCACGGCAAAGCCTCCCGCGACAGAGGCGGGCCTGGAGCTGAAGATCCGGTGGGCAGAGCTGGACCTTGACTGCAACGGCCGGGTGCTTGAAATGGCGTGCTTTGCTGCTGGCAGGGAACCCGCCAGCCCTTCATTTCAGGTTCATGGGTTTGTGTCATTGGCAGCCATGGTGTGTGCTCTCGTGTACTCTTGTGTGCCTGTATGCGAGCGAGCGCGTGTGCATTCAACGCGTTTTGTGAGCCCAGAGAACGGAAGCATGCGCTCACAGAACGGTTTAGAAAGGGAACTCATCGCTTAGTCCTGGGCAAGCCCATTCGCGTCCCTATGAAAGGCAGCCAGCCAGCCTGGTGCTTGCTTCTAGGTGAACAGATGGTGAATGGAACCATTCAGCCAACCAAAGTCCTAACCCCTGCTTGCATGATTTCCAGTTTGCCCTCGGAGCGTGCTGGGTTGGGCTCCGGCCCTGGGAGGTGCCCTGGGCGGCGCGTGTCTTGCGGTCCTTCTTGAGTTGGCTACGTCGCGCTCGCTCGCACGCGACGGCGTTTTTTTTTGTGCTGTTTTGCTATCCCTTTGACTTACCCACCTCAAAGGGGTGCCCATCACCCCATCCATCCATCCATCCACCCACCCGCCCGCCCGCCCGCCCGCCCACCCATCCATCTAGTTACTGTGGTGAAAGTCTCAGAGGACGTGTGACACGTTGCGTGCTGTGAGGTGACGTCTCCCACGAGGAGTTCTCCAGCATGGTGGGTTCTTGGGGCGAAGGCGCCTGGGAGGTGGGCTTCGCACACCCGAGAAACCAATGTGAGGCGCGAACTCAAACCCATCCATTTCGGACCCAGCGCCAAAAGCGAGCTTTGGCCAAGCTGACTGGTAGGACAGGGGGCTCAGGACATGTTCCGCAAAGACTGAGAGTGAGCCGCTCTGAGTCCCATGGTTGCCCGGGGAACAGGTGACCGCAGCAGCCTCATGGTGGAGACCCGCAACAGCCTGGATAGCTGCATCTGCGTGGAGCACAGCAGCTCCAAGGAAGCGCGGGAGGCGCTCAGGAGGCGGCAGGCCATGCAGGAGGCCATCTCCGAGGCGGGGCGTGCTGGAACTGCAGCTGTTTGGATTTGAGCCATCCTGTCTGGGTGAATTATGACAACCTCACAGGACCTCACCCCAAATGGTGGTTTATGTGGGGAGACGCCCCCCCAACCACCTTATTTCAGGTTGGTGAAATATTATGATTCACCCAGATCCTACGGCTTTGGTTCTGTTCAGGTGGGCATCACGGTGGAGAGGAAGATTGCCGAAGGCACGCCGGAAGCGAGACTTTCACTGGAGTCTGAGCCTGCTTGAAGGGCTGTTTTTAGCCCACAACCGCTTGAACGCTAGCCTGGTTCAATCCACTCACTCAAGTCTTTGGGATTGTTTGTCTGGGCGGCACTGGGGCGGCTCATGTGACTCACGGCAGTGACGGCGGCACGTTTTCGCCAGGGCAGGCGAACATGGAGCAGCGCTTTGAGCAGCTGGTGAGCCAATTCCTGCAGTCTCAAGGCGCCTTTGTTCTGTCCTTCTCCGAAGGGGTCGCCAGGGTTCCAATCGCAAAAGTTTTGGAGGGATATTTATTTTAGGATTTGTTGTTCTTTTTTTTTTTGGAGGGGGGGATTGTTTTTCGCTTTTGGCTTCTTGGCTTTTTGGCTTCTTGGCTTTTCGGCTTCTTGGCTGCTTGGCTGCTTGGCTTTTTGGCTTCTCGGCTTCTGGGCTTTTCGGCTTTTTGTTGGTTTATGCGGCTTTTGGTGGCTTTTTGGCTTTGGCTTTTCGCATCCTCTGCATTCCCAGTTCCTCTTCGGCAGGTGGCGTTTTAGCTTTTGCGTTTATGCGGCTTTTGGCGGCTTTGGCTGCTTTCACAGTTCCTCTCTGGGCTTTTTGGCTTTTGCACCCTTTGATTGGTTTTTGGATTTGGCCTCCCGCATCATCAGCATCACCAGTTCCTCCCTATTTGAATCATCGGAAGCCTCCCCCCCCGCCAACCCTCCCGCTGCCTTTTAAATTCTATCGCACCCTTTCTTGAATCATCGCACCCCCTACTTGAATCATCACTTCTTCCGACATCATGGGGGGCTGCCGCCCCCCCCCCCCCCAAACCCCCCCGCTATTTTTTTTTACACAACTGAAATGCCCTGCTATTTGAGTCATCATTTTTTTGACCAACCCGCCAGCTACTTTTTCGATTTTGTTGCCCACAATGCCCAAACAGGCAGCACCCCCCCCCCACCATTCCAGGCAACATGTTTTTTTTTGGATTCTTGGGAGCATTGAAATCAGCATTTTTCTGCGACTTGTTGTTTGCATTTTCCCCAGTGAGCATCAGCCCCATAGGTGACATGTTTGGGAGGATGGTCGGTGTGTTTTGCTCCAACTTGTTTCTTCTTTTTTTTCCCCCCGGCTTTTCGTTTGCCGTTTGTGCCTGCAGTGGCTGTGGCGCTACTGTGGCTCTTGGTGTAGACCCTTAGCTGTTCGGCTTTGCTATTTCATTTGTCGTTTGTCTTCGTGCCAGGGTGTATGTGTGGCCCGTTCACAGAAAAGGGGAGGGGAGGGGAAAGGTGAGAAGAATTCTTTCATGAGCATCAAGGCTTGATTTTTTACTGGTACTCTGCCATGCTTGTACTCCTGCAGCATGCCCAACGCACCCCAAGCTCAAAGCCAATGCAGCCCTGCGCAAGCCACCCAACTGAAACCAACCCTCGCCTGGCCTCCTCAAATGAATCCAGCCCGCTAGCCTCACCCCAACAAGGCCTAACCCTTCACCCAGCCTAAACCAACCCGCTAACTGTACGCTTGCCATAGCACACCAAGTCTAAGTTGTACCCTCAATGGACATGACGCCACCGTAAACTTAGCCTTATTCCCCAAACTCAAGCTACAGCTAACCCGAAACCGGCCCGAACCCGCCGCCGCCTCGGCATACTAAAACATATACTTCTGACGCATCTCTCGCTGCCGCTTTGTCGCAGGAGCGCTTGCTGCGGTTCCCCGTGAGAAGTCCAAAGAGCGTCCCAAAGAGGAGCGCTCCAAGGAGGAGAGAGGTGGGTGCTGCGGTGTAGAAGGCTGGGGGTCAGCTCGAACCAAGGCTTGAGCGAAACGGGTGGCAGCTGGCGCTGCGCAAAAATTGGATGCTGCCATAATGCTGTCTGAAATAGCGAGCTTCACTCAGTCACTCCTGACATGGTCCTGATTTCGGTTGCTTCGTTGGGCGGCCGTTTGAGGCCAAATTTCAGTGGGACGGTCGCTGCTTTGCCCGTTTGCAGGCAGAAGAAGCGGGCTCAGCTGGCATCCGGCCTGAAGAGTTGTTTCGGACTTGATTCTTTCGTAGATGCTTAGTGGTTGTGCTCAAGAAGGTTCAGTGAGTTTCACTCGCGCCTTTGCCGCCGCAACATGCAGATGCAAAGGTGCAGTAAACGAAGCTTCGCACCAAGCAGGGCGCATATCTAGCGTCTTGGCAGTGTGCCGAAACGGGCTGCGAAAGAGGCAGCTGAATGGATACCTGCGGTTGGGGCGAAAATGGGGTGCATCACCTGACCCGCATCCGTTCTGGAATTGCACCAGAAACCTTTTGCGGCATGCTCTTTCATGGGTCTGGAGGCAGGTCCATCGTAACTGCTCTGAGGTGTTCCCCTGGCTGGTGCTGGGTTTGGCAGCATCTTGGCGGGAGTAAATGCACATTGCATGGTGCAGCTGTGCAGCAGGTGCGTTGAGGACGGTTGTTGTGTGTTTCATGTCTGTCGCCAACAGTTTTGCTGTCCCCGATGTCGTTCACGCCACGGCAGATTAGGTCCTGCTCGCGCTGATGTGGTGGTTGGGCCATGCTGGCAAGTGAGCCCGCTTGAACACACATGCTAATTCCTTGGCCTAAATGGAGCCAGCACAAGGGTGCCGTTGAAATTGCAATAGGTGGAGGGGTCAACCTGCATAGCCTTTGCTTTTGCAATTCTTTGGGATGCGCTGTGCTAGGTGATTTAGAGTTTAGAAAGGTTTAGACAGGTTTAGAGTGATTTAGAGTGGTTTAGAGTGACTGACACTCGCCTCGGAGTCCTCCACATTGCGTCGAGTCTTATGAAGAGCTGGTTTCACCCTCGGCGGGCGTGGTTTGCTGGCGTCGATTGCACCGTGCCGTTGCAGACGAGGGCTAGCAAGCTGCTTGCGGGGGGGGGGGGGGGCACGTGGTTTTGCAGCAAGCCTCCTGGCCCATTTGACTGAGGGGATGTCTACACGAGTCAGGTTCGGCGCAGCAGACATTGCACAAGAGCTTTTAGCTTCAGGCTGATGATGAAGCAGTCTTAGCTGCGGCTCTTTTGATTCGGCCGCCGCAGAAAAAGATTCGGCTGCCGGAGAAGCAGAGGTTCCATGCAGTATCTCCGACCGCGATCATGTCCCCCAAGTTCCCCTGGCGTCACTGCTTGGGGCCGTGCAAGGAGCCGATATGTAGGGTCACAACGGCAACAGCCAGGATAGAGCAACTACAGGATGAATGTGGTCCTGTCATGCATTTCCCACCCCCATCCACAGTCTAATTCACAAGCTGGGGATCGGTGGAATTGGTGAGAGTCTCTATTGCTTAGTGTTGCCTGCGCCAAGGCATGGATTCTAGAGTCTTTCCTAATACTATATGTACCTCTTGGCAGCTCCATTCTTCACCTCATAGCATTTTCTTGCTTAGGCATAGTGAATAGTTGGCGGTGGGTGGGAAGGATTCCATGCCATGTCTCTCTCTCCCCCGTTTTGCTTGAATGGAATGGCGGGACGTGGGAGAAGGTAAGAGGAAGAAGACCAGGATGAAGATTAATAGCCTGAAAAGCGCTTCCATATCACCGGTCATTTGATTTCCCTGGCCGCACTTTCCTTTTCCTCATGGTTATTCACCAGGTGCGGCTTGACTTGTAGCAAGAGCTCTGTCAATGCCAAGGCTTCAGGATGCCGCTGGTGAGGTTGTGGCAGCCCTGGTGGCGACATGTCGAGCAATCCGCACACGATTGCTGTGGGCGAGCACTTGGGTTTTGCGGTCGGTTCCTCCCCGAGTCAGCGGGCCTCAGCGCTTTCGCCTTGTGACAGCTTGTGTAGATGCTGAGTCGGTCCGTGGCCAGGGCAAGAGGAGTTTTGTTAGAGCCGCGTGTGGCTCTTCTGTCAGGTCTGTGCTTTCTTTCATGCGGATTGGCTGGGAGCTGAAAGGACACTGGCCGACTGCAGAGCTTGGAGGAAGGGCAAGGCCTTGATGCTCGTGTGAGGTCCAGTGGCAAGATGGAGTTGAAGGAGATTCACTGGGGGGTTAGCTTCGGAGGCCTTCCTTACTTCTCTAGCAGGTAAAAGGAAAAAACAATTGCCACTGGCTGGTGGTGTTTTGCTTTGGGTTTGGCTGACTGCTTCGACATTTGGAAAGAGCATCTCAGCTGGTTTGTTCCCCTGGACGGCCATGTCGATCTCACGGTTTCCGGCTGCAGAAGCCAAGTTCCTAGTTCCCATGTTTGTGAGAGACCTTCAGGACCTGGAGCCGTTGGCGGCCGTGTCGAAATGCATCAGCCGGAGACCGAGGGACCGAGGGTCCAGGCTTTTTTCAGTCCAAGTCTCCGGTTTGATGAAGCACTTGATGCAGGCAATCTGAAGCTCGAAAGCTTGAGTCTGCAAGCGTTTTTTCTTGCTTGCACCATCTTAGACCGGTTAGAGGTAGCTAGCCTGGAGTTCTTCCTCGTTACAATAGGGGGCAACCAATTCCTGAAGTGTGTGCCAAGTCTTTTGTTGTTTTCTTTGCAATATGTTCTCTCAATGAAGCTCGGGCTTTGTTCCTCCAAGGTCATTCAGCTTCCCTCTTGGTGGTTTGGATTGGCGGTTTGGGTTCATGGAAAACCCCTCCTTAACCTAAGAGGGCCCTGAAGGACCCACCCGGATGGGACCCCTTCACTCATTCGATTTAGAGCATGTTTTCTGAATCACTCTAAACCACTCTAAACCACTCTAAGCGTTTAGAGCTTGCTCGCAAGGTTGCAGACCCATTGAACAACACGTGTTTGTTGGCAAGATGTGTAAATCAAAGCACGAGCATGGGGCAATATGAAGCAACGCACTCCATTCATGTAGGCCGTCACCATTCCCTCCCTGCATTCCCTCCTCCCTCTTTTCTCCAAAAAACATGTGCCTTAGAGTGGTTTAGAGTGAGGGTCCCATGCCAAAACCACGCAAGAGTGCACGTTGTTTTGATGGGACAAACTCAGATGTGCAAGTTTTCCGGTTTTTGGGGTGCTTTTCCTTGAGGCTGAGCAGGTGTGACCCGTCCGCCTCATCAGTTTGATCTAGATACCACTCTCAAGCCGCGAAGGAAAAAGAGTGAGGGCTCCCATCCGAGTGGGTCCCATTTGGCCCCCTTGATGGCCACCACCAAGTAGGGGGAATCTGAGTCATGCTCATCCCGCGGGTCTCCAAATCCGCGGTCTTAAGTTTGCCCTCGACCCATGGTCTCCAAAGCAAAGCGAGGGCATTTTTGGCGCGGATGAAGCTAGAGCGGCTTAGAAAAGGCTTCCGTTGGGGGCTCATTGTAGGAAATGACAAAAGATTGGGCCTTGCGGGGCATCCTGACAAGGTCACGTTAGGGATTCTGCCTAGCGCGGTTTAGGCTTTGAACCGGCGCGTGGTCTTTTTGCCTCCTAGAATTGTTTGGCGCAGAAGTGGGTGTAACCTAGGGCACCCAACAGATTCGATCACGGTTCAAGCCCCAGGTGTGGATGTGGGCAGCGATGCGGGGGAGGAGTTGGCCTTGAGCCAGGGCACGCTGGGAAGGGCAGTGTGTGATGCGTGTGTGTGTGTGTGTGTGTCATTTTGGCGTGTTTCATTTTGACCCATGTTGCCCCAGCAATATTTGGGTGCGTCTTTTCTTGAGGTTACCATGGTTACCCTTGTTTCATGTTTAAATCAAGCCAAAAGGGAAAACCAGCCGTTTTGGGGTCATCCATTTTCATTTGGCCCTAGCCGCGTACGTGGGTGGCAGGTCTCGGCTCCCAGCTCCCAGCGCTGCGGGTTTACCAGGCGCCTTCGGAGCACCACGTGTCCGGGCGCCCGGCTGCGGACGTTTGGGTCTCATGCGCGCGCGCCACACGCGCCACGCGCGCCACGCGCGCCACGTTCTCCACGCCCCGAGGGCGGAGCACCTGGGCGATGGATGCACGGCGCAGGCTGCGATGGCCAGCGTGCAGAAGGCCAAGCAGCAGGCCACAGCGGCCCATTGCATACGTTGCAGTTGGCACTTTTCATGGCCTGCAGGGAGGGTTGTATTTCTCGCCCTTGGGCAAGATTGTTGGATGCCTCCCGTGCCCTGCAGTTGGTTCAGAAGGACACAGTAGCTTTGAAGAATCATGGGGTGACATAGCTTTGCACAGCACCACGTAGGCTTGCCTTGGAAGATCAGATGGTTTTCCCAACAGGGGCATGCCTTTAAACGTGTAGGGAAGGTGATGCAACCGCTATGCTGGGTATGTCTCAAACTAGGGGGGTCCTCATTTTTTGGCTTTGCCTTTAAACAGGCCTAAAACGGGTAGCCTCACCAAAGACACGCATGCATGTCCAAGCTGATTTGCTCTGCCAGCGCTTTTGTGCTTCATCAGTGCGACCCTTGCCAAAGAAGCTGGATGCACCAATGGGTGTTGAAGCGGAATGGCCGTCTCCTGGCGAGCACTGTCGATTGCAATTGCTTCTTTGGCTGCAAGTAGTAAGAGGGTGTTTTAAATGAAAGGGTCTCTTTAAATCACCAAAGTTGGCATCCTCAAAAACAGGCTGCTGTTTTGTGGGCTCCGTGCTTATGGCAAAGGTTTGGTCCGCAGCTCTCCGCGCGGCACCTTTCGTTGGGCGCCGGCCTTGGGGCTAGTCGCCTTCGCTCGGCTCGGAGCGCTGACCGGCCTTCCTAGGAGCGTGCATACGCCCCGCAGCCTGAGAGATGTGGTGCCGACAGGTTGGGCAGGGAGTGGGGGCTGCCAAACCACACACACAGCATTACATATTTTGTATGACTTTGTATGACTATATCTTCATGTTACACCCCTTCAATCAGCGAGGGGCCTGACAGGATGTGTTTGTTCACGCCCGTCACAAAGACAGAACATGCAAAACCACAGATGTTCAAGTGTTTCTTTCCATAGCAACTGGTTTCGGGCGCACACGCGGATGGCCCGTCTTTCACAAGTCGCGTCTTTCTTGTGGTCGCGGCAGCTTTTGGCTCAAGCCGAGCTCTCCGGCATGTGATGCGAAGGCAGGGCCTCGAACAGGGCGGTTTTGGAAATGATCGACGCCTATGACGTGCTGGGCCTGTCACTGGATTGTAAGGAGGAGGATGTCAAAAAGGCGCCGCCTGGCAGAATTCCTTGGCCATTGCTGACACCCTGTGTGTGTGTGTGGCCCCCCTGTTCCTAAGGGGTTTTGCGGTCGTGCCTTTCTCTCTCTATTGGAGTCGAACGCCACCTTGCTGGATGTCTCAACATGAAGTAGTGTCACCTGCCGATGGCGAGGATGGTCGGTGGCACGAAAGATGTTTGAGCATGCAGTAAGCCGAAACTCCATTGCCCTGCCGGAGACCTTCAAACAGCCTGTGCCTGCATGGTGGTGCGCATTGTCAGTTTTGCCGTCTCATATCAAGTGTGTTTAGGCACTGCGTCCGGGCTTCGGTCAGTGTCTTGATCCCCTTTGCGGGCACCTGTTATGACCCATGTACCGACACCTTCTTCAGACAACCACCGGACCTTGTCACTCGCGACTCTGGAAATCCCCCTGTTGACTTTTCGCCGTTGACCATTCACCACAGGCTTGGACATGTCCCGGACGTTTCAGCACCCCAGATTGCGTCACGTTTGACTTCCCCACTTGACGGGCTGCCAGACTACCCGACATATCAGGCATGAATCCATGACGCCGCCAGTTGGTTATTGGCTCGCAATTGCCGGCAGCAGATGCCACGGCCCAACGCAGGCCCGATGTCGAACTCAGCAGGCCCCATGACCAAGGCATCCAGGAACACTGCGGGCCCTACGCCGCCCAGGTCACCAGTGCACCAGACAGCATCACCGAGCAGGAGTGCGCTTGTGACACCAACCTCTAGCATCTCTGGCGCGGTGTCCAGCGCCTCAAGGGCTACCAAACCTGCAGTTCCAGCTCTTGCTCCCGGCGACGCCTCGGCATCGATCCCTACCCTGCCTGTCTGGCCTGCATCAGTAGCTGGCCCTCTGCCGCAAATCCTGGTGAAAGCACGCCCAGCCACACCGATGACTCCAATGACTCCAATGACGCCGGCTACCCCAACGGCTTCAACTACAGCATGCCCACCTATGACCCCTATCGCACCGATCCCTACGGCAACTCCATCAGGTCAGATGCTTCCACCGCCCAACCCACCAGCCAGATCACGCCACACAACGGAGGGAGAGCGGTCACGTTCCCACAACACTTCCCCCTACTCCAAGTCAGTGCCCCCACAGCGGCGAGGTCGAGCTCGCTCCAGGACGCCACCACCGATCTCCCGAAGGGACACAACATCGGATAATTCCACCACGGCAGCACCGGCTCTTGCCGTGTCGGCACCCACAGCAGCCAAGTCCTCATCCCGAGCGCCCACGGCAACTAAAGCTTCATCCCGACGACCGAGAAGCAATCGATCTCCACTTCCGCGCAGCAGAAGCAGTGCCCCATCGGCTCCAGCCTCAAAGGCCACAGGTGCTCACCCAGATGTGGGGTCATCCTCGAGGAGCATGCAACTACGCCCAAATCCGCAGGCGCACCCACCGCTGATCCTGCTTCCCAACCCGGAGTCCGACCCGTGGAGGAACGAACTTCAGGTGCTTGCCGCACCGTACGTCCGCAAAGGGATCCCGGTCAATCAGGAGCAGATGGACTATGTGGCCGCTACCTTGAATGCAGCCGGCATACCGTCTCAGCACTCCACCCTGAACTATGCAAAGGTCAATCCGGAACATCACTTTTATAAGATCACTCCGCACTGGTTCATGCTGACCATCCCCTACCTTGGCGCTACAGTTCGGCTCAAAGAACCAACGAAGACGCGACCCATGCTGCTCTGGACTCACGCATCCAGTGTCGGCGGCACTAGAGGCATACTGCGGAGCCGACAGATCCATCTTTCCAGGCAGCACTCCTCGGAGTGCCCAGCCTTTTACGCCCAAGGCTGGAAGATCACTGGACACGCCGACTATGATGCTGAAGAAATTGCCCGCACGATGAGCCAGAACTGGAGTATGTCTTTCAACATGGCCCAATTGCTGCTGTTTGGACGCGCTGTCGGTACCTGTCAGCCGATTCGATCGGGAGGAGAGCAAGCTTGCATTGAGGCCCTGGATTCCAGTGAACGTCCTGACGTCATCCACTATGTGTCGGGCAAGTGTTGGATGGTGATTCCAGAAGCAAGCCAGATCGTTGGACTCGCATGGCCTACCGATACGAAGCCGCCCACAGGTGTCCTCCGCTCGTGAACCTGCACCAAGAGCTGCTGCAACCAATGACAATTAATGATGTTTCATTGCGAATAAGAGCATCCTTCGCCACACTGCCGTCTTCGACCACCGACGATATTTTGCGACAAAAAGTGCACGCTAGAGCCTTACTCAAGCATGACTTTCTTGTTGGTCTTACTGCGGGTTCTTTCGCTTTTTGATGATTCGTTGTGACAACTGCTGTTTCCCGGTTTCAAAAAGCCCTGGGTCCGATTGCAAATCGGGTGCCGTTTCGACAATTTGTGCCGTATCCCTAGCTTTTAATCTATCAGCAAGTGTTGGCGACGAACTCCCATCTCGTGATGGCTTCTCAGTGGAACTATTCATGGCCGGCGACATCGGCACCCTCCTCCTCTTCGCATCCGGGATCCTCGTACCTTCCATCATGGTCAGTACCGCAGTCCCAGCAGGAGGTCTATTTGAGCTCCAATCGGATGGAATCCTTGCAGCATCAACCTCGAGAGGAAGCAGCACCTCGTGTCAATCCTCTTCGGCCTCCACATATGGCTCACCAGTTTCCTCCTCAACCTCCCGGTCAGTTCTACAACTATCACGGTGGTGGGACAAACCACATGCAGACAGGTCCTCGTCCCCCACCACCAGCACCGCCAGTTCAACCTCCAGTTCGGGCACCTCTAGGCCAAGGTGATGCAACGCAGTACACTCAGCCTCGATATTCGCAGCTACTCCCTAGCACCTTCCAATCTGATGACATCTTCCTCGACAAGACGGAAGTCCGCGGCCTGCAGCTGTACCGTCACGTTCAACCCACTCAGTGGTCCAGAAGGGTCGGGCTCGCAGGAACAGCTATCCTGGATCTTCCATTGACACGACTTCTTCGAGGAGGAGCAGAAGATCACGCATTACGAGCGCTGTCAAACGGGCGATACAGCACACCAGTCATGGCTCAGACGATAGCCGAGGCGGTCTTATTGACATCCATTCTCAAAGCATTGAGAGGCAGGGAGGTCGACATCGACAGGACAGCTCGCTCTCTCCACGCGGACAATGCGCCGGATAAGCGCAACGAGGCTATGCAGTTTATGGAGCCACTTGCGCTCAAAATCGTGGATCTCATAGAGTCGCTGCAGCCCGCCAAGCAGGAGAACCTCACTCGCCACAAAATTGCCGAATTGGAACAACAGCCGGAGCGCTACAAGAACAAGGGCATCACTCTTACACCGGATAAGGCAGCCATCCTCGTCCCCTTCCAATGCCGCGTCCTGGACCCCCACGCCCGGCCGCTCTGACCAGTCCCTCTACATCAATGCGGCGAACTCAGATGCTCAGGGACCCCCCCTACCAGTTCCATCCCCGGAGGCTGATCCAGCCCCCAAGCGACGACCGGCAAAGCGAAAGACCCCGGAGACTGCCCCGGACATCACACTAGACTCAGAACTTCTACGTCAGGGAAATCCCAAAGGTCAACAGGTACCACTTCCCACCAGCCTCACGGACAAGGTCTTCAAGGCATGGCTACACGAACGCACGCTGTCCAACCAAGCGACCTACCTCGATCTCATCAAGCAGGAGCTGGCGTCGGACACGGTGGAGCAGCTGAAAACCATTGCAGTCAAGTGGGGGGCCCCAATCTCCTTAGTGAGCAAGGGATCGAAGCGAGCACTCCTGCAGTTTATCACGGTTCTGTACATGTATGGCAAGTGAGAGGAGCGGCTGTAGCGCTCACGAGGAAGGAAGTTAGCGCCTTGTGACACGACTGGCACAAAAGGCCTGCTGCTCATCGCGCTTGAACATTTCTCCTTCTTTTCCGTTTTCCTGTTTTTCTTGGGGTCGCGGGTCGGCGTTTTTCCCCGCTGTTTCCAGTTGACCCAATTAACCGTTTAGTGCTCGAGCGTTGGATGCATGGCTAAGCCATGCCGGTCATTCAATCTCCAGAGACGGTGTTTCTTTGGCAGCTCTACGGCAAGTATGAACGGTCAGAACTTTACAGTGCAGCCAGACACTATGGTATTCCCGAGCCATCCTGGCCAGTGAGCCTGCAGCATGGCACCGATTATTTCCTTCCCTACCTCACGGCGCTTATTGCAATCAGACTCGGTGACTCGCTCGATGTGCATGCATCCTACCAGTATTATCAGGTCCTCTATCTGATCATCGTCACGAGTCGCCAAATCCTCAACATGCCGATGGTCAACAAGCAACTGTCTATGTGGGCCGAGTCAATGTCCACGCTGCTGATGGTTCATCACTACGGTCGTCCCACGCATGCACTCGCGGAACTCAGACGCCGACTCCGACGTTTACGCATCCACCCGAACATGTACACCTTCACCCACTTCTCGCAGCCCAACGCAGTGTACTGGAAGCAGCGAGTCGAACTCCGCCCGGACCTTCCACGCTCAGTCAACCCGCAGTCGGACGTATACATTGGAAGCACCAGCATCACTTATCCTAGTCGAGAACACAATCGTAGGGCCAAGTTACTGGGTATTCAGCACGGACAGTTTATTAATGCGGAACCAGCCCTCTGATGGTGGCATCACTTCGGCAACTATGACGAGTTTGCTACATGGGTCATCCTGACAGACCCCGACCACGCGGTCACCTGGACCCAGGAACATGCCTTGATTAGCATTTATCAGCCGTCCCTCAATTGGCCCTATATTTATCGGCGGTACAAGCGCATCTCCACCGGCTATACGGCTACCAGGTTTCTTGCAGAACAGCCCTGGCCCAGGTTCGGCAAACGCCTTTTCCTCCGTTTGCGCAGGAGGAGCTGCGCTGTCTATGGCAGGAACTTCCATCGGGTGGCACTCAAACACACCCAAGCCTGGTCCATCATCGCTCGCCTCACCTCGGAGCACATTGAATCCTGGGAGGAGGAAAAACGACTTCGTAGCGGACGGCATTCAGACTTGGATATATATGCTATATACAGGCTGTCTGGCAATGTGGAACAGCCTCATCGGCATCGAGTTCGGAACATTCTGCGAAGAGTTCTTGATTTCCGTCAACTTCAGCAACCCAAGATCAACTTGTTATTGCGATTACCGTGGCTGTCCCATCCACATTATCAGCGGTCCACCAGGGAAGTGCTTCGTCGGCTCGTCCTCGACCATCGCAACTGGGCTCTTCCATTTCACTTGCCCAGTACGAAGTTGGCAGAGACCCCTCATCCTCGGGTCCATACAGTTATGTGGAACTTCTCGTCGTTTCAGGACTGCTACCTCCTGACATCCCCCGGACCATCATCGTGTCAGTGCGCAGCCTGGCTAAAACGTCAGCCCTGGCTATCTCACGTTCAAGGCCATGTGGGCGCGGGATTAGATGAGTTCCGGTTTCCGGGAACCCCTCAGCACGTTCATTACACCTCAGCGCTGGCGTCGTATTATGTGGACCTTTCAGTTTACGAAGTGCAGGTTCATGAACGCCTACGAAAATGGTGTTTGCACCACGGCCTGCCCCTGGACCAGTTCCACGCACCTCTCATGGAGCACCTACGCAGTCAATTTCAGAAACATCGGCAGCACGCGTCCACCCATCAGCTCCTTACCAAGCACCAACTGAACATCCATCGACACCTCGGCCAGGATTTTGTGTGCCATAACGAGGATCACGACAACCACCACCTCATGTTCTTCTGCCCTCAATGGCTTCAGTCAGGCACATTTGCCGCTACTCCACTGAAGCCCGATCAAGCCGGGGCTCTTATTGTTGAAGCTATTCCTCGGGACCTGCAGAAGAGGTACAAATGGGCATACAGGAAGAAGACCACCACCATCCCGGTTGGCAAAGTTTTTCTCAAACGTAAGAAGCAATGGAAATCGGGGCGGACTATTATAGCCTACCATAAGGTGGTACATCGGCAGCTCTTCAAAGCGGTTGCAATCCTCCTCGGCGAGATCGCAGCGGTTACATGGAAGTGTTCGTGGGGGATACACCCCACGCCGAGGATATGGCAGAACGTCAAACGTTACTTTGACAGCACAGACGATACAGTCACCCTTGCATTCCACAATGACGATTTGGTCGGCTTCTTCAACAGTGTCCCTCAGGATCAAGTGTGCGCAGCAGTCGAGCAGCTATTAGCAGAGCACCGGCGAGAGCATCCTGGTCTCATCTATTCAGTGGAAACTCAGGCAGCTGTCCACTACAATCGGGTCTTTGCGGGTAAGCAATCCTACGGACGTACGCCGACCACGCGGGTCATTTACGTGGAGGACATCTTGGATATCGTCAAATCCAGCTTCCAATGCATGTATGTCCAGGTGGGAACTCTCATTCTGCGCCAAGTCCACGGGACGGCGATTGGTTCTCAGCTGAGCCCAGTTCTCAGCCACATCTGCGTCGCGAGGCACGAAGTTCTTTGGCAGCGTATCTACGGACAATGGTTCGCCAGTCACAATATCTTTTTGGAGCGATATGTCGACAACAGATTTGTGATCTTCCCGTCTCCGGCCTCCGGTCACCCAGCAGCTCCATTGGAGGCTCTGCTTCAAGCTGACTTTTACGGTGCCCCCATCGTGTTGGAACAGGTGGGATCTTCTGAGTTCCTCGGCTTCGTGATCGACGTGGGCGACCGTGCGATTTACTACAAAACCCCAACCAAAATCTGGCAGATCAGAGGACCCCACACTGCAGGAAGTCTCTCCACCCTTCTCTCCGGGGCCAGATCACGGTCAGCCCTCGCCACCAAGTACGCGCACCCGGCCCGAGCAGTGCAGATGGCACTGGATCAGCTCCGCAGTATTTATTTGTCCGCCGGTTACAAGTCAGCTGACCTGCAGCACCTGTTTCATCTTCCGGCGATCCCAACCAGAAAGAACGCTTAAGTGCCAGTTGTCGCTGTTTTTCGATGCTTGGCTTTGTGGCTCGCTCTTGTTGTTTTTGTTTCGGTCTTCTTCCGGACCGGGTTTGGCTCGTTTGGGCTGTTGCGTTCGGGTGCTCTTCTTCTTCTGTTTGGGTTCCGGGGCCCCTTGACTATTGTGTTGATCACGGGGCTCGTTCGCTGGTTCAAGACGTGGGCCTTCTCGCCGACATCGGAAAGCGGTCGTCATGCTCGGACGCATGATAGCACTTCACCACCGTATGACCCAGAACGCTGCGGACATGATGCAGCTCATCCAGGAGACCTTGAATCAGGCTGACGAGGCACACAGTCGCCGGCATCATGACGGGCAAGGTCGCTTGCGGCAACAACATGTCCGAGGCCTGTCGCTGGCAGAATCATCGCGACCACGAGCACATGATCATGCTGGATTCGATGAGGTGGACCCACCTGGCCCGGTGATCCTGAATTCGGTCAACTCGGAGACTCCGGCCGACCCTCCACCACCAGTCGGCTTTCAGTCACTCCAGCTACACGCGGACCATAGGCACAACGCAGTGGCCAACCCCAAGTCGTTGTCCTACGGCATCATCACGGGGGACACCAACGAGGCTATAGACCCGCGCTCGAAGAGCCCCATGGCGCACACCTATGCTGGTCAGCTGAGCATCAAGAAGGCCAATATTCCTCGCTCCATCATGGACAAGACAGGCACGGACCGACGCCGAACAAAGCGGAAGAGATGCCGCGCTACATCTTCCGAGAACACGAACTCCCCAGAGCCTCCGGCGCCTCCAGCATCTCGCACTCCAGCACCTGCTCCGGTATCTCCTTGCACTGGACTGTTCTCCTCTCCTGAATCTCTTCCTGAACCTCCTCCTCATGCTCACTCCGATGCCGGCAACCCCGGAACTCCCCCAGAAGTACCTCGGGCCTGGACAGAAGAAGATGACCAGCAGCTCTGCAGCTTGAAGGGAGACAGCCGGTCCAAGTACTCGTACAAGTCGCTGGCCAAGAAGCTCAACCGGTCCATCGCGGATGTCACGCAGCGCTGGAAGAGTCTGGAGCGCCTCAGGAAGGTGAAGGAACAGCATCAGAAGGCCACCTGAACTTAGGCGGTGAAGCCACATGTCAAAATGGCCGCAAGTCGGCGAGCACAGGCAGGAGTTCCACAAACAGACCAAATCACCCATCGGGAATTATGATGGAGGCGGCTTTCAGAACTTGGCGGTTTCTCTGAGTGTTGAGATTCGGGCTGTTTTGGTTCTTTTTCCCCCTGCGGGGGGTGTGTGTGTGGCCCCCCTGTTCCTAAGGGGTTTTGCGGTCGTGCCTTTCTCTCTTTATTGGAGTCGAACGCCACCTTGCTGGATGTCTCAACATGAAGTAGTGTCACCTGCCGATGGCGTTCCTGAAGAGGATGGTCGGTGGCACGAAAGATGTTTGAGCATGCAGTAAGCCGAAACTCCATTGCCCTGCCGGAGACCTTCAAACAGCCTGTGCCTGCATGGTGGTGCGCATTGTCAGTTTTGCCGTCTCATATCAAGTGTGTGTGTGTGTGTGTGTGTGTGTGTGTGTGTGTGTGTGTGTGTGTGTGTGTGTGTGTGTGTGTGGGGGTGCGTTGCTTTTGATACATGGCGTGGCCCTCTCCTGAGGTATCACAAAATGTCCCTCCAGTACCATCCCGACAAGGTGGGCGGCGGTGCAGAGGCGACGAAGAAGTTCAATGAAATTAAGAGCGCTAGAGAGTGGCTTGGCATGTTGTCGCAGTTTTGCTGCCCTGCCTTGGGGGGCAGTGGGGAGTGCCCAGTTTAGGGTTGGCTTTATGCCTAGGTCTTGCTTGCAATGGGGTCATTTGGGCTCTGTTTCTGTTTGGGGATGACATTGGGGGATTTGAGGCTCGCTAGATGCAGGCTTGCAGAGGAATGTGCTGGAATGCGTTTTTGCAACGAATACCTCATACACAACTTGCCAGCTCCCAAGAAAAATGAGATTCCGTGGTCGAGCCGGGCGCCGGGCTAGGGAAGAACCGGGGTGTCTTGAAAAAGACGCGCATCCGGCCGTCTTTGCACAAGTCTTCTTTCAATGATCATTCGGCCTGAGGATACTGCAGGATTCCGAGCGGAGAAGGATGTACGACACCTTCGGCATGGACTTAGGCGGGGAATGGCCTTAGTGAGGCGTTGCCAACTCACAGGCTCTACCCCAAGACTTGATTGGCATTGGATGGACATTGGGCAAGCCGTTGGCTCGCCAGCTAAAAAAAGAGCGCAGAGTTTGCCTGTTGCACCCGCCACTTTGTCTCAGTGAGACGGCAATTTTGGAGGAACCCATGCATAGCGCTGAAGCGCCGGGTGCGATGCGAGGCGAGGAGCGGCCTGAAATGGAGGTTTGGAGCATCGGCATCACCACCCTGCTGAACCCCATGGGCGGCTACGTCCTGCCCCGCAGCAGAGGTTCAGCACACGGGGGGCGAAACCAGCGAAGGGATCCAGGGATCCGCTCAAATGAAGGCGTCACCAGAAAATGGCCACTTCAGTGGTCCAGGGTTCCAGGCCACCCCCGCAAGCTTTTGTGTGATGTTTTTTCTCTTTTGGTTTCCCTTGGAAACCACCCCAACAATGGTCCCAGCAAAAAGACGGAGATTTGGGATTCAGCGAATCCGCGCAGCTTCGTCTCAGGAAGACAATCGTGGCGCGCCTGGTGCTTTGGCTGATCGGCTGGGCTTGGATTGGCCGTCTTCTGATGCTGCTGGGCCTGGTTGCTTTCATCCTCTATTGGAGGGATGCAAAGCGCTGCACTCAGCTCGCGCAAGCGTTGCGTGGAGAGAGATCAAGAAACAAACTCGAATGCCAGCACTAATCGCGTGTCACGAGGGATTGCCTGGCGCTTGAGGATCGGGGAATACTCAGCACGGTCCGAAGATATCATATCAATCTTTCTTACTGTCTTCGTCATCGATGCAGCTGCTCGGCAACGTTGGATCCTGCTTCAAAACCATGGGATGCCTTTTGGTGCTCATTGTTTGCCGGTTTCATTTGGCGTCCTCCTGGTTTCGTTTGGGGGTTTCGGGTTTGCCGTTCACAGTAGCCGGCCCTCCTGCCAGGTGATCATCGTGAATTGGCTGTGGTCGCTCCTGGCCGAAACGGTTCTCTGGCTGCAGGCAGTTGCAGATCCGGTTTCTGCGCGCACCACACAGGTTGTAGCTTGTGCCGGCCTGCGGGGCATTGCCGCCGAGGTTTGCGTGTTCTACCTGTTTTCCGAGATGGTGAGTTTGCAGGTCTTCTTCGAGAGCCACCCGGCCGAAGGTGCATGGTATGGGTCAAAATCAAGAAAGAAGCACCAGGATCGGGGCCGCAGGGTTTGGTCCATTCCATTTTCCAGTTGGCAACCCATGTTGAGGTTGCCAACTTTTTTTTTTGGCCAGCCTCGGTATCGCGGTCCAAGCATGCGAGGCTGGAAGCTCGCATCCTTGGCTGGGGTGGTCTCTCTTTTTCTGGCCTGGCTGCTCCGCGGTTGGTGGCTTTGGTCGCTTGGCTCGGAACCTGGAGCCAGAGACGTTTCAGACTGAGCTGACGATCCAGGCTTTCCAAGAATTTATATAAGAGTCTCGGGGTAGGACGCGGGTGGTGAGGGAGTGCATGGAACAAATCCGAGGGCAATGCCGATTTGCTCTGAGTGTGCAGCGTATGGCGTGCGGAATGAGGGTTTGCTCTAAGGATAATAGGGCTGCAGATTGTCTTGGCTGTTGTCCTCCTGTGCCAGCCTTACTCTGGAATGGCCTGCTCAGAAGCTGTGTTCTAGGCGGCTGCCATGTTCAGCTTGGTTCAACAGTGTTGTCGCACGTGCATCCTTGATCTGAGCCGAGGATAGCGCTCACAATTTCGTCGGGCATCGTGCGCTTGTGGATAGATGCAGTCTTCACACAGCACAGTGAGAAGCTTAAAGAGTGGCGCGTGAATTTGCGCGAGAGAAGGAAAGAGATGCAGGACCAGCGGGGCTGTTGCACTTGCTGCTTTTGGAAGGGCCCATCCTGTCATGACGCTCTCATGTTGCGAGTTGAGACAGCTGGGACAGACCAGCTGCAGGACGAGCTGTCGCAGCTCAAGAAGAAGCTACATTCGCTGGAGGAGACGTGGGGAGTAGATGTGTCGGCAGCCTTGAGTGAACCAAGACAAGGAGGGCTTGCTAGGATATGCTAGGACACTTGAAAGCTTTGCAGGGAGATGCCTGGTCCGTTTTTGTCAAGAAATGTCGGGGTATGTGGGGCTGTCTTTCTTAGCATGGCATGAGCTCAGCTTTCCAGGAGGAGAATGAACAGCTCAAGAAGAAGAGAAAAACGTGAGCTGTAAGCAGATGGTCATGGTCGCATTGCAACCTAGGAGCCTTGTGCAGAAATTGGTTAGTCGCTTGCCTGGCCTGCATATGTCTTGATTTTTGCCTTCTGCCCGTTCTATTTCACAAGGCCAAGGAGATTTTGAAGCCCAGAACTGTGGCGCTTCTCAAGCCTCAGTATACGTTGGGAGGTACACCTATCCCTGGGGCTCTTCTCGCAGAGCAGGTTTTCTCATCTGTAGAAACGGCTGGGTTAGAGCAGGCGCTGCCAAGAGGATGCAACTCGACCACACCCCGGGCGCGTTGGGGCCAGCTTGAAGTTCCTGCGATACGCCCTCAGCTCGACCGCGGGTGCCTTGCCAAGTTGGGCATTGCAAGAGCTCCTGCCGGAGCTGCCGCAAGTTGAAGTCCAGCTATTTTTTGGTTTAGGCCAAACGAAGATGTCGTGCAATGCTTTTTGGGCGCTGGCAGGAGAATTCTTGCACACATGTTTCACCTGCCATTCGCAGGTTAGGCCACACGCCTGACGAATAGACCAGCTCGGTGCAAAGCATTTGCCAGGGTTCTGAACTCCAGGAAGTCGACTCAGCCTCTTGCTTTTCAACAAGTGCCCTCCTTGCCAGGCACAATTGAATCGTTCTCTTCACGGTGTGTTTTTTTTTTTCTTTTCCCCGGTTGGATTTGTTGACTTAGGGGATCATGACATGCGTGGCCGCGGCTTTTCTGGCTGGTACTTGTGTTGCGTGTTCTCTCTTTCATAATGTCATATCGGGCATTAACGTGTGGATTCGTGAGAAAACCCTGGAAATTTGGAAGGCTAAGCGCAAAGTTACTCAACGTCCATTGGAGCCTTGCGGGCTCATCTGCGCGTGTGGGGTTGAGGTGTTGTGGCTTTCTTTTCTTTTTTTTTTCTGGGGGGGGGGGTGCATAGCATGGAAGCACAGCTGGAGTGGGCCCGCCCTGAGTGAGTGTGCAGACCGAACAAAAAAGCGTTTTTGCCCCACTTGGCTGCTTGGCAGGTGCCTTAGCTGATGCCGAGTCGCCCCGACATGGAATTGTCATGCCGTGGAGGCACATGCTAATGACGAGGTGGCTTTTTACACAAAAGAAGAATCTATAGGAGTCCGTACTTCGGACATGTCCAGAAAGGCATGCAGAGGGTCGCGGCCAGGGACACTTTCGAGAGCATTCAATGGTCTTCAGAGAGGTGGCTGTGGGAAGTCGAGGCGGAGGGGTTGACCAATATGCCCTGGAAAGCGGAATTCTCGCAAGTTTCCGGACACCCGAGAGGTTGCCGACCGCAGCGGGGGCCGCTGCTTTTGCGGCAGCTTTGCGACGCAACGGGAGGCGGCCCGAGCTGCAGATGCGGCGCAGCTTGCGCTGGATCAGATGCCCGGCACCCTAAAGTGCCGGGTTTGCAAAAAAAAGAGAGCGCCCTCAATGGCTGTTTGTCCTTTGCGGGCGTTGGAAGAGGGACTTTGTGTGGTGAACATGTTGAGACGTTTGTGATTGAACAACGGCACCCATCATCTACATGCATTTTGAGGCATCCTCAAGAGGATGGCAAGCGCTGCTGGCAGAGACACTGGGCACACATGAACTGGGGTTGGCCATGTGAAGGGGCTTCTGGGATGATTTCACACGGTGCTAGCAAGCCACCAGGAAACCTGCCCAAGGAGACCGTTTACCAGGACGAGGCTGGCAAAGAGAAGACCCGAATGCTTGCAAGTCACCATTATTGGAGGCTGCAAGGCCAAGGTGGACCTTTTTCTGTACTCAGTTGGGCGCTTGCCTTGTTTGTGGACGACATGAGCACGCCTAGCAAAAAGGCGTCCAAGGAGAGCCCTACTTCTTTCAAGTTCCATGTGGGGATCGAGGGCAGCTTTCCAGTTGGTGCTGCGGCACAGGTAGACCTCATGCTGGAGGTCCTCCGCGGCGAGCGCGGCCCGCCAGAGGTGCAGGACTGATTCAGTGCAGCCTCGTGGAGGATGAGCCGGGGCCCTAGAGGCTCCTTTGACCCCGCTCCTATTTTCGGCCGTGTTCATGACGTATTCACCTTGCAATGCCCTTGCTCAAGTTTTTTTGGAGGCGTGGGTTGAGGAGGCAAGGAGAGAAGCAGAGAAAAGAAACGCGCCAACCAGCACCTGCCGTCGTGAGGCTGGTCTCCATATTCCGCGAACCGCTCATAGATTGCGAGCGGAAAAGGGTTTGAGCCATGGGCAGCCAGACGGAATCAGATGGCCCCAAGTTGGATTTGTCGATGCGCGTTGTACAAATTGGTGCAACGTGCGCAGAGGCAAGGACTAGCGGCGACATTTACGACGCCGGCGTCTTACCACAGCCTTGAAGGGGCAAGCGCAGGCTAGTGCCCAATCTTCGCCGCACGCCGAATGTGTTCGGCTTTTGGGTGTCAAGCTTCCGGAACGAGCCCCGCCAAGATGGTCCGCGGCGCCTACGCTCAAACCGCAGTCCGGGGCTCGTTCCGCAAGTCCGAGGCGTCAGAGTTGGGCTCGTTTTCTGCAGGTGGGCGGGCCGTCTGCCATCGCCTAAGTGCCCTCCGATCCGATGGAGTGAATCCCAGTGCCCATGGGTGCTTGAATTCTGCTCGGGCATTGCAGCATTTGGCTCTGAGACTGGCTGATGCAGTTGCGCATGATTGGCAAAGAAGCTTCAGACGCTGAATGCCAATTCAGAGCTTGGCTTCCTTGGTGGCTTGTGCCGAACTTGGTGGCATCAGGGGTTTCTGCTGAGTTGAGCCATGCTAAGCGGCTGTCTTCATAGCAGGCGGCATGGTGTGTTGGAATGTGGGAGCCATGTGTCCTTTGGGGCTGCGGCCCTTTTTTGGTTGCCACCAAGCATCAGTGCATGAATGCTTTGGTTGGCTTTGCATACCCTCGCCTGCACCTAGCTGCACTGCTGGCTAGCATGTCTGGATGCCATTGGCTGCATGTGTGTGTGGCCTATTCAGGAACATATCGCATGCAAATGCGGCCACAGAAAAAGCCATTCATCACCACAGTTCTACTAGTGATTCATTGGGCATCTTGGGGTCCTTGAGCTGAAAAATCTGTGAACTCAGGGACCGCCCGGGGCCCGATAGGTCATTTGCCACGCTACGGGAGATCGGCCCCTCGGTGTGGCGACTGGGTGCCGGCCGAGAGCGGCCGAGAGCAGCTGTGCTGGGGGGCGTGCATGGAAATGAGCTGAGTGGAGTGGAGGTGGGGCAGCGGGAGGGCGGCTTCGAACCAAAACCGGATGCCCGGTGCTTCATTTCGCGAAAATGCTGTTGGGCAGGTTCCGAGTTAGTTCTTTATGTGGCCTAGCAATGGCCTTCCTATTTGGCTGGCAGATGCATGGCACTATGCAACTGGGAAAACGGCTCCTTGAACGCCGGCGGAGACGAGAGATGCTGCCCTGCCAGGTGGTGAACACGCTGGTCTCAGAGCTGGCCAGCAAGGCCCGGAGTTTTCCCGTGGAGCCTGGCTGCGGCCCCATGGCCCATGGGGACGGATTTGTGCGGTGGTTTGACTGGTCTTCTGATTGGCCAGTTTTCCGTGCGGGTTGGTAAGGTGCAATTAGGCAAAAAAGCCATGTAGGAGGATGGATGCTGCTTGGTCCGGTTGTGTCCTTGCCAGCTTCGCGGGTAGTCATGGGTAGCAAGGGAAGGGGTTGACGACATGTTCATGCCTTGGGGGCTGGGTGGGGGGCCAGCAAGAGAGTCAGGGAGTCAGGGGTGAGCCCTTCTTCGTGCGTTTCCTCCAGCGTCAGGACATAGACGTGAACGGCGAGGTCACGTTTATCATTGGCAATCCTGCCGCAGTGTCCAGAGGAAGCCGGCAGCTTCGAAGCGATTGATAGGCTCACAAGCCGAAGTTTTGTTTCACAATCTTTTCCAGGCCCCTCACACCTCCCCGAACCCTTGCATAGGGTCTGCAGAATGCCTGGCATGGATTGAATAGGTAGTCGAAGGTTCAAGCAAACCTGCAAACCTGTATGCTAGAAGCATTGTGCGCGAATTTGTTGTCTGCCCAGCGAACAGTTGTTTTCTCCGCAGAAGTTGCTTTCGCATTGGGAGGGCCAGCATTTGCCACTATCGCGGCACATAGTCGGCACTCTCAGGTTTATCGACTACGACCTGAACCGCTGCTTCCAAGACGACAAGTTGTGCGATGTGACCACCGCGGGCGCAACTCTCTCTGGGATTGAATGGGAAAGAGCACAGCAGTTGGCTCCTTTTCTTCGGGGCTTGGATTCTTGGCGAAACTTGCTCTCGGATCAAGTGTTCAGTTTGTTTGCGTTTTTACAATTCGCTTGACAGCAGAGTCGTAACCAAGTTCAAGTGCGGCCAGCCAGCCATGCAGCATGCAAGGATGTCCTCTTGGACTTGCACTCCACGAACAAGCCGTCATCGCCCTTCGTGCGTCTTCCAGGCAGTCATTCGCGTTACTGCACGGGATCTATCTTTTGGTCGTTTGGGCTTGGCCGCCAGGTCCAGAGCAGGGGCGGCGAGCGCGGTTTGCCTCCGCGGAGGAGCTGTTTCTGCGAGCTTTGCCCCCTGCTTGCGACACTGTGCTGTGGGACCCTGACGGGCTGATTGCAGCTGGCGGTATGACCGACGAGTATGCGCTGAGACACTCGGAGGGCTTGCGGCAAGCGCAGGTGTGCTATGAGTCAGGGCTCGCATCCGACCGCAGCAGCGTTGAGACCACCCGCCGTGCCGTGCGGCACTGCCTTGAGCAGCTGGGCCTACTGCCAGGCCCACAGGCCCGTGGAGGGGGCCTTCAAAGGACCTTCAGGACCCTTCACGTACGAGCTCGTTTACCAGGTGAGCTCGTGATAGTTGTGTAACATGGATCTACTCTGGCCTGTTTCAGCTTTTCTAGATCGTACAATGTTTGAGCGATGGCTTGCTTACTGGCCGCATAAGGTCACACAGGGATTGTCGTTTTCCCATAATGGTCACTCTCATCATGGTCACTCCCATTATGGTCACTCCCATTATGGTCACTCCCATTATGGTCATTCGCCGTTTGGCGTCCTTTTTCCCCTCTCATGAACAGCCGTGCGACCCCAAAAGGACGAAGTCGGGCGTCCGGTGCCAGGGCACGAAGCCGTTGGAGCCGCTGGAGCCGCAGCGACAGTGGCGCCACTTCCAGATCACCGAGGTCTTCTTTTTGGACGCCCGCGGCTTCGAGTGGCAAAACGGCCACGGGGCCCGCAACTTCCAGCGGGTGCCAAGAGGGGAGGTCTATGGGCGACGCCTCCAGGGCGCGGAGGACGGGACCCGTTGCTGGAGAGAAACCATGCACATGGTGTTTGTCAAATCGAAGCCGTTTCCGGAGATTCGGACGAAAGTTGACCAATATCATAGGCAGGTGGATCTTTGACCGACTCGCTGAGTTGCTTTCCACGACCGAAGGTCCCCATGAAGTCACGATTGAACATGGACATCACTGCAGCCAGAGGAGCTGAGGGCTGAGAGGGAGTCTTTCATGGTGTTCCCCAAGGTCCGTAACCTTTGGGCGCTCGGCCGGCCGCTGGGCTGGCTGGCCAAACAGCTGGAAGTACTTTGAGACTGGCGACGGGCTGCAGCTGAAGCCGACCAAGGCCCACGCTATGGAACACGGCCCCCGCGCGCGCGCGGAAGTGCCTCCCAGAGGAGCTGGATGGAAGTTCTGCTGCTTTGCCATGCGGAGATGGGCCAAACTGGAGCGTGGCGGAGCTTTGGGGCAGGTGCAGGCTGGGAGATCCGACTGTCGAGCGAAGCGATTGGCTACCTCCAATGAGGCAGGGTCACGCCTAGGCACTGCGATGTTGGAGAAAGGCCACTGTGAGGCTCAGGAGTCAAGCACGAGCATTCCTTACTGCGCCTGCAGCAGTTGTTGGTTTAGCTTGTTGAGCCATCGAGGTCCTGCCGCTTGACGTGGGTGACATCCAGAAGCGGCGCAAGCTCTTGGGCCGGGGGGCTTGGGGGTTGCAAAGGACGCAGAGCTGAGCATGAAGTAGTCGGTCCAAGGAACCCCTAATTGGTGGCTTGGGGATTTGAAGCCCTGGTTCTTGTAGAGGGTAAATGGGAACCCCCCCACCAAACCACCAATCCAAACCACCATTCGTGGGAAGCTGAGTTGGTCCCAAGTCTTGTTGAAAATGATTGATTTTGGAAATGCGTCGAGTCCACAACGGGGGTGTCTTGCGGGTCTGGCTCAGTGCTTTGGTTCCTGGACCCGGCATTCATTGAAACAAATACGGAAGTCAAGGTGCGCTTTTATGCAATTGTGAACCTTTCGACACTTGTTGTTACGCAGAGTGTGCATGAAATGTACTACGGTGAATGCTGCCCAGGTAAACACGACGGTGCCATTTTGGCTCAAGTCGACCTTGCTGCAACTTTCGTCTGTCTTTGTCGTTCTTTTTCTCCCAACTAACTCAGGGGGAAAATGCTAAAAGCCAAAAAAGAGCAACTACATATGCCAACGGGAAGCTTTGCGGACTTCGCGCAAGGCATTGGGGGAGGCAACAGGCCTACCGGAGAGGCATTGCCGCCCGGCAGGAGCAAGTTCAGGAAGGCAGCCCTGGCACCCCCTGCGCCAAAGCTGGAGCAGCGTGAAGGGTGGACTGAGCCTGTCGTGGGCAGAAGGTGCCTGGGCAGTTCTACGCCCAGTGGTTCACCTGGCCTAGACAGGTGCAGGGCGTCGTCCTTCGCTGCTTTCGTCGCAGAAGAACCTGGTGACCTGAAGCGAGTTGGTTTGGGAGAAGACGCGCGGATGACAGACATGTTCGATAAGCCTTTCGATGGAATGTCTTCATTGGAAGGCCCGAGCAGCTTTCCTGGAAGGAGCTCTTCACACATCTGTGGCTTCAAAAAGCGTGCTCTTCCACCAGATTGTCTTGATGAAGTTGGTGTCGGCGGCGGCTTCCCACTTGGAAGCGTGAGTGCTCCGACCCTTTATGTCTTATGGCGTCCGGATCGCACAAGCCTCTTCTTTTCGCAAGAAAGCCGAGCCCCCACTGATCCCTGCTCCGCCGTCCAACTCTGCATCGGCTCACGCTCGGCGACCTACTGCCGGAGGGAAGGCCCTCGCAGCCGCCGAGCGTGAGAGTGGTCTACATCGAGCTCAAGACTTTGAATGTTCCTTTGGACATCGACAGCCTTGTTGTGGTCGATGGTAAGTTCGATGAGGATCGGTTCAGGACTCTTACGCGCCCAAGAAAAGCTGCCACCGGCTGGGTTGAGATGTACATTGCGTGGTACAACGGCCAGATAGATGACCCTACGGTCAAAAGCGCTCCTCCCACAAGCAAGGAAAATTTCTGGAAGTTCCTCCACTCCTTGGTTGAGCGTGGGGTCGGGCGACTCCCCCGAAGAGTGCTATCGATGCCTTTGAGTTCTTTGCTGAGGGCCTTGGTTTTGACAACGAGGCATGCTCTTGGGTCCGCTGTAGGCGGTTGGGAAGTGCCCGCGCTGTTGCGACCAAGCCGGCCAACCACGCAGCCGCCCTGCCGATCCCTTTGTTGAGATACTTGGAAGAGGCTGTCTTGGATGAAAATGCGCCAAAGCCAGTGCGAGCCTTGTTGGGTCGACTCCGGCTTTGCGTGCAAGCCAGTCTTCGGTGGGATGACCTGGTCAGCAGGTTCACTTGAGTGGCGCTCAGCAAAACTGGCCAGTTATTTGGGGACGCGAGCTGAGCACGACCGCTGGTTGTTTGTCTGGGTGGAGCTCCTGCTAGAGTGTCGAGCTTCTTCATTTTAGACAAGAAGTGCCAGAGTACGGTCAAGACTTGGCAGCTTGTCGCAGTCTGTTCCTCAAAAAATTCGAGAATGAGCGAGAGATCTGTTTCAGCAAGGATGAAGCCATAGGCTTCCGGTGGCATGGCTCAAAGGCTACTCTGACTTCCATGATGCAACACCTGGGTGTCAGTGGTCGCGCCGTCAGGTTTGCAGGTGCGTGGAGAGACTTTTCAGAGACTAGTACCTACGTGAGGCGCAGCTTTTGGTCTTGAAAGCCCAGGAGAGGTGCTTGATGTGGGTGCGAAGGTGGTGCTGGAGACCCTTGCTTGCACACCTGTTGGCAGAGGCGGACCAACCTTACCCAACCTTGAAGAGGGCGACGCAGCGAAAGTTGCAAAAGTCGACCCAATACCATGGAGCTTCCTGCGCCAGTGGCGATCGACAAGGTCGCGGAACCGCTCCTAGATGAAGCTTGCGCTTCTGGTTTGGTGGACTTCGACAGGGTGTCCTTGGAGGGCAACTTCACCCGGATGAGGATAAGATGTCTCAGATGTTTTTGTCAGAACCTCACCAACCTGAGGCAGCAGATGATGTCACTTCGAGCAAGGAGACGGACTTGGAGGGCTATGTCTCAAAGTTTGTCCAAGTCTCCGGGCATGAGGGTAGACTGCACATCTGCGGAAAGGAGTTGGGCCTGCCTCTGTGCAACGTTGCTGCTGCCAAGTTCGATGTCATGACCCGCTGGCTGAGAGAGTGAACCTGTGCATTCGTTGCTTTGGCCGCCCGGAAGGGGGGTGCGATGGTCTTTGCACGCGCCTGGCACAAGGTGAAAAGGGTCTTGAGATGTCGCCGACGGTGCTCGCTCGATTGCGAAGCATCCCAAATCTTGGAAGCTGACGAGAGAAGGCACAGATGCGGCGACATCAGGACCAATGATTTTTGGATTTCTCTTCAGATCCTCACTCAAGATTTAATCCGAGCTCCGAGCAGCCCGCCAAAAGAAGCGCCTTTTGGGTGGGTTTCTGGCCACAGAGCAGCCATGAGGATGCGTGATGCGTAACTTGGTGAGAGCGGCCTGTGAGTGTCATGGTTGCGATGAGGCTCCCCCCACACATCGCGCCGTAACGATGATTGAAACCCCCGTGAGCCCATGAGGAGTCCGTTCGATGGTACACTACATTTGCGCTCGAGCCTCATGTTCTCTTGTTTGTCTTTGCGGCCTGTCGCTTTCTCTAGGTAGTGGCTTAAAGCATGGCAACCCAAGGGAAGTTGAAGTCTGCGATGGAGCAGGCAGCCATCAAGTTCGATTGCAGCGAGTCTGACTATCTTGTCCTACTGTCAGAGGGGATCGAATGTGTGGAGGACTGGTACTTCCGCTTCGACCGTGGTACACCCTGCTGGCGCCTACCGCAACGACAGTGGGGTCATCACCAAATTTGACCGGGCTGAGATCACTTACGCGGCATGGCATAGGTCTCAAGACGCAGCCAGCATGAGGAAGCCCTACACTCTGGCTTCACACGTCTGCAAAGCCGAGTTCGAGGCCATGGCGCGTTGAGAAGGACACCTTGATGGCTGAACAGGCCGCTCTGGCAAGCGTTCCGCAGGTCAAGATTGGGAAACGGTTTTCATTGGAACACCCTGGTCGCTCCATAGCATTGAAGCTTCCATCTTGGGAAGAACTCATTGGTTTGGAGGGAGTTTTCTGCACCTTCTATCACACGTGCATGTTTGCAGGGAGCCGCAGGAGAAGGTACCAAGTCCTGATACACAACATCCCTGCGCTGCACGCAAGGCTGTCTAGAGATTGCTCTAACCCTAAAGTTTGCGATTGCACTGCTGGGAAGCACGAGCGTTGGAGACCAGACGTGTGCGGAGGAAGCGTGCTCCAGTTTGTGACTGGCGAAGAGCGAGAGTACTCTGAAGGATTTTGTCAGGAGCACGCCCTTGCTCTTGCAGACTTGGTTAAGTTTGTAGCATGTTTTTCGGGGCCCAACGCGCCTCTCAATTGCGCTGTCGCCAAAGCTTGGGGATGCCCCGCCCCGGGAGAAGTTGCCCCAAGAGCGAAAAGGCAGAGACTAGAGCGCCTGGCCAAAACGCTTTCCGACGGGCATGGCCGCGCAGACAAGCAGGTGGTTGAAGTTTTGCCACACCGACGAGAGACTGTCGAGAGTGGCAGGCAGCCGAGTTTTGGGAAAAGGCAGCAACTTATCCCGGATGGCTTGTCAGACCCTGTTGCGCGCCTGAAATAGGCTCTTAGTCTTGAGCACCCGTTCGACAGTATGGAATCACTCAAGAAGCATCACCTTGATGCTTTCACTTGGATCGGCAAAGCCGGTGAGGATGTGACAAGACTGAGGTACGAGAAACTGGGGGCCATCCGCAAACTGAGCAAGAGTGCGCAATTTTGAACAGGCAAGCGCAGCTTGATGAAGAGTCTTCTTGGACGCAAAGAAGCTAGGCAATCATTTCCGTGTTGCGCTGATGGAAGCTTTGCAAGAAATGGTTGGAGTGGAGGACAAAGCCATCCCAACCCTTTGCAACCAGGGGCTTCCCATTGTCGGTGACGCGCTGGAGTCGCCTTTCTTTGAACCGTTCCACGAGGCGCAGAAAGTTACCCTGTCAGAATTCCTGTCCTCAGACCCGAAAAGGCGCGAGGCGATGATCCGAAGGGTCTTGCGAATGGGTCGCAGCGGAGGCAAGGCCCAAGCCAACGCCATCTGGCAGAAAACTCAAAAAGAAGTTGAGACGGGGTCAATGAGTGCGCCTCTGTCCGAGGAGGAGCTGAGAAAACGGCGCGGAAATTATTTCAATGTGGCGCCCAGCTTCGGCCTCGAGCAAGGAGTGGACGCAAACGGCGAGCCGAAATTCCGCCGCATCGACGACCACACAGCTGGATCGTGTAATGTGGCAGCCAGGCGTTTGCAAAAGATCAGAATGAGCTCGGTGGATTACATCGCAGTCATGGTCGGGTCCGGACAGAACTTGATGTCTGACCTGCCCAATGTCAGCTTCCATCTGGCTACCGCTGACATGAAACAAGCGTATCGGCAACTCCCGCTTTCACCGTCAAACGTCATGGCAGCCATCACAGCAGTTTATGACCCAAGCCAGAACAGGGTGACTCTGCACGAAATATACGGGCAACCGTTCGGCGCGGGGCATGCCGCCCCTAACAGGGTTGCAGAGTGGTTTGCTGTGGTCGCTAGCCGCCTTTTCCACATCGCCGTCGATCATTTCTTTGATGACTTTTGGATTGCGGAACCAAGCAGCGCCGTCAAGAGCGCTCTGCACTGCTTCAGGGAACTTGCTGCCTTGCTCGGCTTTGAGTTCGACCCTGCCAAAGTCCAACAGCCTGGCAGTGTGCTGGAAGTACTTGGCGTCGTCTTCGACCTCAGCGCAGTAGCTGCAGACGGCAGTTTTGCGGTCAGACCGAAAGCCGGCCGAGTGCACGCGTTGCAGTGGTTGGTTCGGCAATGTCTTACTCAAAATGAACTGCGCCCTGCTGTCGCCGCAAGCATCAGTGGCAAGTTTGGGTTCATCTGTGGCACGCTCTTCGGCAAGGTGGGTAGGTTCGCCTCAGTGGGACTCCGCAAAAGGCAGCACGCGCAAGACAACAGGCTTGCCTTGGATAAGGGGCTAACACTGTCCCTCAACCTTGTTCTGCAAATGGTTGCCCATTGTCCGCCACGCAGAGTCTTGTGTGGGCCGAAATCACCACCTGTCATCTTGTACACCGATGCGTCAGATGTGCCCGAAAGAGTGCCCCCAATCCGAATCTTGATTCGTATTGGGGGCAGTCATCATTGACCAGCGTTCCCCGAATGGCCAGTTTTGTAGCTGGGCAGTGGGCCAATTAGAGCTTTTAGTAGCACCCATGGCTCTCAGCACTTGGGCTCACTTGTTGGCCAACCGCTCTTGTGTACATTTTGTTGATAACGACGCGGCGTCCGCCAGCCTGGGTATTCCTCCACCGAGGATAGCTCACCTCTAGCAGCTGAGTATTGGATGTTTGCGTCCAAGTTGTCGTTGTCAGTTTACATCGACCGCGTCGAGTCAAAGTCCAACTTGGCCGACGGCCCAATCTGCAGCAGGTTCCTGCCGTTCCCGCCCCACCTGCGCCCGTCGGAATGGTTGGCGAGACCAAATTGACGGGGGGGAGACAAGGTCCACCAACCATACGCATGGAGAAGGGTCTCTCCAGCAAAGGGGTGTAACTGGGCCCTCGCCGCCGTTCTCAATAGACCGATTTCAAAAGAGGAAAAGAGCAAAGCGGGCGAGCAGCTTTGGCGGTGCGAAGCCTGCTCTGGAGGAGTTGCAACAAGGGGCCGTATTCGCAGAGTGTGCATGAAATGTACTACGGTGAATGCTGCCCAGGTAAACACGACGGTGCCATTTTGGTTAAGTCGACCTTGCTGCAACTCTTGTCTGTCTTTCTCTCTCTATTCCGACCTGGGAGAGAAGGGGTGGGGGGTCTCTCCAGGAAAGGGGACACGCTGGGCATCCTGAGGGGTGCTAGTGTCCAACCTTCGCTTGCTCGGGGCGCAGAGGTTGAGACCCCCAGCTGTAAATGGGCCCTCGCCGCCGTTCTCCATAGACCGGTTTCAAAAGAGGAAAAGAGCAAAGCGGGCGAGCAGCTTTGGCGGTGCGAAGCCTGCTCTGGAGGAGTTGCAACAAGGGGTCGTATTCTGCAATTAGCTGCTGGTTAGCATTGGTGGCTGTTTGGGATTGGCGATGTAGGTCTTCTTACAACCCCTTGAAATTCAATCGTCCACTGCATGAGTGATTGCAAGCAGTGCGGGTAGCAAAACGTATGCGAGCACTTTGCGTTGCTCTGGCACGAAGGCTATGCCGACGAGGATGTCGACGAGTCCGCAGACCTAGGCAGGGCATTTGCAGCATCAACCCATATGGCAGGGCCCCGGCGTTGTTCAAACGTACTGTTCTTTGATTCCACCGCTGTCACCTTTGAAATTTGCGTGCCCCAAGGTGTGGACATGTGTTTGCCTGAAGTTCTCGACTTTTGGCCCTTGGCCCTTGTGTGCGTGTGTGTGTGTGTGTGTGTGTGTGTTTAGTTGCATTCCCCTGTCCGTTCCTGTCTCCTTACCCTGGTTGCTGATATCTGCTGCTTACGCCCCACCCACTTGAAAGCGCAACAATCGCAGAACTCTGCCGTTGAACTCTTGGCAAGGTGGCCAGCGAAGTGTCAACCCAGCCCTGGCTTTGGGCGTTGCCGCGGCCAGAGGCTTGGGCTGCGGCAATCCGCTCATCACCGCGAAGCTGTGTGAGGGAGAGGCTGGGGTGCTGTGCTGTTCTTCAGGTTGGTTTGGATCTGCAAAATTCCGTCGGCTTTGCTTGAAATGGTGGGGGCTAGCCGCCAGTGCGCAAAATCGCGGCGGCGTTTGTAAGGTGTGTTCCGCTGGGGCTGCCTTTCTCGCACACCAAAGCTGAAGCATGGGACCCTCGCAAAGGATACTGCATGATACCAAGCGCATACAGCAACGCTTGGCAACAAATTGTGCCAGCAGAAGTATGTTTTTGCTTTTGGATGTTGATGTATGAAGTGTGCATGTTACGCATTTATTTTCAGAAGAGGCTTGGCTTGGGTTTATTGGGAGTGTGATGGCTGGTTGGGCTCCACGTGCGCTCGCCTGGTTGCAAACAACCAGTTTTGGGTCCGCATCGTCAAGCTTTACCTAAAGGCGCAAAGGACGCGTCTCGATCTGCAGGGAAGTTATGACGGGGAGTTGCAAGTTACCAGCCCACCCCGACACCCCAGCCCCCCACCACCAATCGCTTCAGGTGGTGCTTGATCTGGGGAGCGGAGCAGGCATCGACTGCTTCATTGCGGGCAAGCAGGCTGGGACAGAGTTCAAAGATGTTCAGAGTGTCATCCACTTGAGCAAGTGCCCAAAGTCTGCCGCAAACCAATAAAGTGTGCAATCTGGCTGTCATGTTGTTTTTTTTTGAAAGGATAGGTGGCATTCCAATGATCGCATGAGGTCGGGCCCAAGGGTCACGTCATTGGCGTTGACATGCGGGAGGCTCAAGTGTGCAGGCACTTTGGGAGGCGCATTCATCATGCATCAGCTTCGCATAGCTACTGGGCCGTTCGCAATCTAGTTGGCAGTGTTAACCGGCTCCATGGTTCATACGGGGGTCGACCAGAACCAAGTCCAAGTGGCGGCTTTGCCGCTGAGGACGCCAGAGATGCTGGGCAAGGCCCGTGCCAATGCCCAGCGCGAACAGGTGCAGAACGTGTTTGGTCCTCGGCTTGCAAGCGGCAGTGCCCGCCTGTCCCAAGCCATTGACCCTCTTGCAGCAGCCAGGAGTCTTCTGCGTTTTGGGCGTTCTGCATTCTCCGGATTTTTCTGGTCCCTGGACAGTCTGGACAGGCGAAGTTTGGGGAAACGAAGGCATTTCCGTTGGGCGGCCAGTGGCTGGATTGGCCTGAACGCGGGCCCTCGGCCTCAGATTGCTGGGCTCAAACTCCGAGAAGAGCTTGGAGGATGAGCTAAGCAACAGGAGCACAACAGTCCAATTAAGGCGCAGAAGAGTCTAGTGAGCCTTTTTGAGTTGCATGTTTTTTTGTTCCGGATTTGGCTGCAGGCATCCATGGGCACAGCCTGAGCTAGCAACAAGCGAACAAGTTGGAGCCGACGGCATCGAGAATCGGGCTAAATCGCCATGGCCTCGCCTTCCCACCGCCCCTCGAACTGTCAGATGTTCAACGCTTGGCAAGAAGACACCCAGCGTTTACCATTCTGGGCACGCTCATCCATCTCTCCTGGTGACCTGCTGTTTTCAAACAACCGGCGCGTAGGTGCTGGGGATTTGTACAGGGAAGAGATCTCAGGGACTTTGGCCTTGGGTGTTGCCAGTGCTTTGGGACGGCGCAGCTAAGGCATCGCGCAAGCCTTGCAGGGCCTGGCTGGGCCAGGTGCTTTACCCCGGACTTCGGGGTGGAGTGGCTTGCGTTTGACGTGGGTAGCACTTCCCAGAAAGGCTGCAAGTGGACGATGTTGTAATACTTTGCACTTTGCAGTGTAATACTTTGCACTTTGCAGTGCAGGTGGCAAGGTGGAACGATGTATGCTGCTGGAGGCACTGTGCGACTTGGTTTGCTCGGTCAGTTTCACAGAGCTTGCAGTGCATTTCCCTTCCGCAATTCCCTTGGGCTGATTCCATTTATGTCGCTTGGACACTCACATGATTTCCGCAGCCTTGATTGAGTGTGGCATATAAGCACACACACACACACACACGCACAGACACGTCAATGACCAAGTCGCGATTTTCTGCAACGCACGGACAAGCAGAAGCAAGGGAGCAAGAAGCACAAAAACCCACGGCAGGCAGGGAGACTAGGAGGTAGACCAGAGGAAGTTCACACCAAGCGTAAGAACAGTAGCATTTTTGGACCAGGCGCGAACGCTGGCTTTGCGGGCTTGCGATGACACAGCTCAGGTAGCATTGAGCCTTCCTGGACAGATGCAGACCTGCTGTTGCTCGACTGCATGTTGCAAAAGATTGCAAAGCGCCAAAAGCGTGGTCACTTGAAATATGAGACATGCACAGCTGCTCGCTGCTTGTGCTCATGCTCACTCTTGCTGGCTGCAGCGCTGATGGTTTCTCCTGTGCCTTTGAAGGCACAGGCTGCTGTCAGCTTCGGGATTGGGGGACTTGGCCGTGGCATGTGCTCGCATGGCTGTTGCCCACAAAGGAAGATTCTGCAAGCTGCTGGTATGCCCGCAGACGAGCCTATCAGCGCCTCGCTTTCAGCTATGGCACGGGCACCACATCATTTCTCAGCACATTGCCTGGGGCCTGGCAGCTGGCTCTTGGTTGCGTAGGCAGCAGGCAGCTGGCCATGGCTAAGGCTGCGATGCCTTCCTTAGCTTCCTTTTCGAGGAGTCTGCAGCAGAGAGGTCGCTGGCAGATGCCAAGACGCGGTTCCCACAGCGGCCTGGCGGCGATGCTGGCTGTCCATGTGAGCAACCCGAATCGAAAAACGACAGGCCGAAACTGAACTCGTGATAGATTGCTGAAAATGAGTCAACATGAACCAAGACTGGAGGTGCGCCGGATCCAAACCTGACACAAGCACAGACCTTTCAGCAAGGCTCGGGGAGATTCCTGAGCTGCCACGCATCACTGACGACATGCTCCTCGGCTGCGTGGTAGAGGGGGTTACGCAGCTGGGCAGGGGGGTCGGAACGAGGCTAAGCCGCACGGCTGGAGTCGCCATGGGGCATGGTTACCTGCAGCTTTCAAATTACAATCCCGTTTTGGAGCACGAGGACGGTGGAATTCCTCACCGATGTCGAGGGCAACTGGGATTACTTTGCTCTTTGGCTGCTTATGGTTGCGATGTCTGGCCAGCATGGCGAGAGGCGAGAGGTGAGTGGTGCTGGGCGGATTAGCCTTTTTCCTGACACTGCAAATTGCCGATGCAAGTGCGTTCGAATCATGGCAATTCCTGCAAACGAATCTGTGTGTTTTGCGCCTTTGCGCCTTTGCGCCTTTGTGTGTGTGTGTGTGTGTGTGTGTGTGTTGTTGGACTGTGCCGTGCCGTGCCGTGCCGTGCCGTGCCGTGCGGTGCCGTGCTGTGGCGTGTCGTGTGTTTGCTTGCTTGCTTGCTTGCTTGCTTGCGTTTGTCCACCGGCAGCTCTTTTTCAGCCGAGGTGCACTTCGTGTCGCTGAGCCAAGTGCTGCACTGGTCGGGCCCGGAACGGGGCGCCTGGGGCCCCGGGGAGCTCATGCTTCGCGACCAAGGGTACTTCGTCTTTGGAGGCAGGGGCAGCCTGCTTTGGCATTCCGGTCCGGGGATTTGGGAAATCGGTTTCTATTATTAGGGAGACCTTTATTATTAGGAAAAGTGTCTAGATGAGTGGGCGGCAAGGTTTGATGTTGACCGCCTGGGATGTCAGAGGATGGAGGAATGATGCGTTGCTCCCTTGTAATTGAGGAGGTGGTTCTGTTGCCTGCACGAGCTATGTAGCAGCTCGCAGCTCAACAGTCAGGTATCCGGGCACACGCTCTTATGGTTACATGTGTTCTTGTAGCAAGGAACTTGAGTTCATTTACTGCTGGTGCTCAAGCAGGGAAGTGAAATGGAGGCATTCCGATGAAATCTCAGCACAGTGCTGCAGGAGATGCTGTGGACAAGGGTCCAGGCGACATTCGGGTCGTGAAGACCCTGCTGTCACTCAAGCGCCGGTATTGGTCAAGAGCCTCCCGGCCACAATGGAAAGCCATACTGAATGTGAACAGTGACGGTGCTTCCCGCGTGCTAGGGTTCCCTGAAAGAGCCGCAATGGATGTAATGGGGTCACTCCACCATACTGGCCTGTGCAAGGTGTTCATTGTCTTGGGCAACCGGGACCTTTGCAGCTCGGCTTGGGCTTGGCTCTCGTTTTCTCGCGCTTCCAGTGCCATCGGGTCCAGGCAAGCTGCGCTTCTTCGCTGAGCTGCAAGACGGGGAGGATGGCAGCGCCTTCGAAGCGAAGGGCGGCGCAACTTGGACCCTTTGTGCTTGGCGTGCCGGTCCTTTGCCTGTGGTGAGAATGGGCAGCAAAATGCCCGAAGAACAGCAAAGAGAGAGAGAGAGAGGGAGAGAGAGATAGCAGGCAACGGAGATTTGAGATCCCCAAGCCGCAAGGAGGGAAGAAAGGTCAATGTCTGTCAAAGCAGCCTGCAGTTTTTCGTGCGGTGGAGTGTGGCTTGGCTTGCATTTGGGCTTGTCAAGGCCTACTGGATACCTGATCCAAAGCCTTCCCCAGACTACGAGACCTACGTTCAGATGCTCCCGTGGCATGTGATTATCCAAGATTTCAGCGCCAGGTCCATTTTCTTCCCCTTTGTCGCATCATATTTTTTGTGGCTTTTGGCATTTGCGCAATCACCAGCTGGTGGTTTTAGGCCCGCAAACCACCAGCCCAGCATCAAAGCCATGCAGCCATGCAGCCTCCTTTCGACCGGCAAGCCAGGCACGGCCTCGAGCGGGGCCACGTGAGCACTGTAAAGTGGATATTGGACTGCAACATGGGCTGCCCGGGGCCCCAGGAAGCAACTGGCAGACAAGTCATGGCCAAAATTTGAGCAGCTCGGAGGTCAGAAGACCACCTTCGGGGCAAGGAGGCGGCATTTTTGGAGCTGGACGCACGCCGCCGATATCTGTCAATGTTTCAAGCCACTTCAGTGCAGCGCGTTGCGAGAAGAGGGAAAGAGTCAAAGATGTCAGGCCGCAGAGCCTTGAATAATCCAGCCCTCTTTGCAGAAAGGCCAATTTCAAACTACTCCTCCTTTCTGGGCCATGCAGTCTTCGTCGTTAGCCTTTCCTTGCTCATGCAAACTTAGTACTGAGGGGCGTCTTGTGTTGATGATAGCTTCTTTAGTCATTCCTCCCTTTCCGCCGCTCTGCTTGGAAGAAACGTGCAGGCATGAGTTGGCCCTCCTGGGCGGTGAGGGCTCTGACGAAGCAGTGCCTCAGCAAGCAACGGAGAGGACCTCATGATTCTGCAATCTTGGGTGGCGTGCTATTCGTGAAACTTGAACGGCACGCAGCTTCGATAGATGCGACAAGTTGGGCCACAGACGTACTATTTACCTGAGTGGGTGCAACATTTTTTTTTGCCTAGCTGATACCCGGGGACTTCTCTCGAAAAAGGCGGCCCCTCCATATTGAACAAAGCAAAGGGGGGGGGGAGAGAGAGAGAGAGAGAGAGAGAGAGAGAGAGAGAGAGAGAGAGAGAGAGAGAGAGAGAGAGAGAGAGAGAGAGCACTCAGGTCGTCTGGAGCTACCGCCCTTTGGCAGCTGTCAGCAGTTAACGCCAGAAGAACTCTGGAATCGACTAGACAGATGTCGTGGACCGAACACAACAGAATGAGTCATTCAGAATCAGTTGTCCTTCCTTTGGTTTGCTTTTGAGCTCCTGTCGGGCACTTACTTCTCCAAGGCGATTCTGTGGATCCATATGGCTCAGATCCATGGATGCTGGACCTCCTACGTGTGGGGCGCCCTTGGCGCATGCGAGATACGCCTGCTCCACTTCCAAAAAGAAACCTCGACAACTGCAAAAGAAGCGTTTGAAGATGCAACATGAAAAGGGCACTATTGAAGAAATCAAAGGCCATTCCAAATCATTCAATGGGGTCCAAGTTTGATTGTTAAGAGGCCGTTTTCTGCTCGTTTGCAGGTCCCTTTCCTTCGGCTTGCCTTGAAGATGAGTTTTGCCGAGCTCGTTGGGGAAGATGCAAACGCCCGGTTTACATTCGGTAAAGCAAGTTCTACGGCAATCAACTGCTTTGGCATCTGTTCGGGGCTCCTTGCATATGAGCCGGGGGGCTACAAGCTCCCCTGCCTGCAGCCCACGGAATGCCGTTGGACACCTTGCCCTCCCCCATCCCAGTGTGATGCTGGTCATCTGGGTCGTTGGGCTCTGCTTGTGAAAGCGGGGCGCACTCCCAGCACATGGCGCGAGCGCTTTGAAGGCAAGGCCAGATACGAGAGATAGGGTGCTCGCAAAGCACAGCCCGTTTCGTTTCCCCCGTTTCAGAATCTAGGCATAGCTATGCCGAATACCTGAAGTTCTCCCGCGATCTTTTGTGGAGCCTCCCTTGGACCTTCCCAAAGTGACTCCGGGCCCAGGCAGCTCGCCGTGATCTTGGGGGACTCCCTCTTCGTGCACGGGGGTTTGTACGAGGAGGCCATCGGGGCGATGCCCGGCGAGGCACCGGCAGTTTCTCGGCTCAAAACCGTGGCCAGAGGGGCCATGGCAAGTGGGACCGATTGATTGGATGCAGCAGAGGCATGGGGCCCAGAGGGCCATGGTGTCATTGGGCCCCCCAAGCAGGAAACCATGACATGAAGTTGTATCCAAGGCCGTGGCACATACTCTCTAACTGTCGCGCTTGGTGTTTTGCTCGGTGCTTAACTTTCTAGGTGACTTACACCAGCACCGCTTCATTTTCCATTGGCTGCGTTGATTGCGCGGCCACCAAACGAATGAGAGCCCGGGTGTTGCGCCTGGGTGGCTGAGGAGAACATGCAAAGCTGGGCCTCGCGCCTGAACGCATGGAAGGACCGCAAGCGGATCAAGTTGTTGTTTTCTTCTTCTTGTTTAAACTCCGCGTACCTGCATGATCCCTTTTCTTTTGTTCTGTCTTTGTGTTGTTCTTCCCGGCTTGTGTTGATGACGAGTCTGTTTTACACATGAATAGCGTGGCATTTGTGTTCCTTCGACATGACGCACGCTCACTTATCCAGGTCAGGTTTCGATGGTGCTCCAAAGATGTTTGGAGAGCTTCATCATTTGCTTGTGGGGGCATATCATACTTCTGAAACGTTCAAAACTGCGTAGCATGTTGCTCTAGGTCATTACGTAAGCCACCCTGGCAAATCTCGGGAGTGAATGTGGCAGGGCGGGTTGAGATGGCCTCTATGGCAGAAATCGCAGACTCACCAGTCCTTTTCCTTTTGGTTTCAGACATGAATCCGTGACATCCGGTTTCGTGTTTTGCGAGCCATTCAATGCACTTTTGGCCAGATGCTTTGGGCTTGGCCTCACAGCCGAGATTCGTTTGTGCGGGGAGGGGGCAGGGCCGGCACGGTGAGTTCCGCTGGCTCTGCCAAAGTCACACCCAGCATGGACAAAGCGACCAACCAGCCCGAGTAAACACTCGGAGCCAAAGCATGCCCTTGGAAACAAAGCCATCGCAGGCGAGACTGTTTCTGACTCACCCACAAAGAGCTGGAGCTTTGAAGCCAGAACGCCTGAACCCCAATCCCACCCAGCCTCAAGACCCATGTGTGACGCAGCCGACATCTTTCTTGCCCCAACACACCACCCGCACCCGTCAGAACAGCCAAAGAAGGCTTGCAAGCCAAGCATCACAAGCTTCGGGCCCTGTCGGCTGCCGGATGCTACGGGGCCTGGCGCTGCTGAAAGAGGCGGAGGTGCTATGCAGCCTGCCGCCAGAGGAGCAGCTGCCGCCCAAAGACGTGCAGGCACGCTCGCCCGGTCGCGTCTGCGCGAGTCATTGCAAACTTGCCTTCCCCGGAGCCGGAGTTCTTGGCCCCAAGCCTGGGGGCAATGGAAGGGAAGTCTTTCGAGATGGCTTGACAGAGCTTGGAAAGTGAGCAGACACCTTCCAAGCCTGGATTCAAGCTGGAGCGCAGTTGCCAGCCCGCTTGTTTCAAATAATATTGATGATTCTTTTCGGCACTGGATTCCTGAGGTGCTGCAGAGGCTCCCGGAAGCGATTCCTTGCAGCCGAGGCAGGAGGGGTGAGATGGAGCAAGGGGCAAGCGGTTGTTTGTGCTATTGGGGTCAGACATTTGTGCTGGCACAAGCGGACCATAGGACTATGGGGTTAACCTCGCGGCACCGTGCTTGCGCATGTGCTTGCGCATGTGCTTGTTGCAAGCATCGCCCTGAGCCACTGCGTCAGCACACTTGCTCGGTTTCAGCTGTTAGGCCAGCCTGTTGCACTGGGCAGTGGGTGGGGTGCGTGGGGCGGGCGGGTGTGTGATTTTGGACAGGCAGCTACGCCAGCCAGAAGAAGCCGGGCAGTGCCCGGTGTTTCTGCACTGTGCTCAGCTCCGGCAAGTCTTGGAGCTACATAGCAGCGCTGGCCATCAATGTCGAGCCAGGCACAGTACCAATGCCTGTCATGTTTGATCCCATGGTTTATTTGGTTGACAATCTGCTCATAGAACTAGTTTATGAGGCTGTGAGAGGTTCGAAGTTGGACAATCGGTTGCTGGAGGTCAGAAGGATGGCATGCTGGACACCTTCGTGTGCCTGTGGTCGGATGTCCCGCAGATCATCAGCAGGGGCTTCCTCCAGAGCTTGGCGCGGCTCTGCGCCACAGCCTTTCAGCCGGAGAGCGGCTCCTATTCCTTTGTGCCTTGCCCCATGATGGCAAGCTTGGTCTTTGAGGTCAAGTAATGTTGACCCCGTGTTGTTCAACACCCCTTGAAGGTCAGAAGGTTTGGCGGGGGAGCGAGAGATTGGAAGGTTTTTTGCCTGGACCCCTTAAGTCAACATTAAGATGCAGGTGCGCAAGACGCTCTTCAAGTTGTGTCTTGCTTTTGTTCGATGACCAGAGACACCACCGAACCGCCGGCAAGCCCGGTCCACTCGTCAGTCACTCGTCGCCCGAGGACTGCTTGGCCCAACTGTGGGCCTGGCTGCTGTGCGAGGTGCCCGCCCCACCCAGGGGCTGCGCACTCCATTTGCACGCCGCCGCAGAGAGCACCGCGGCAAAGCCGAGCGAAAACTGGGAAGATGGCGGGGGGTGGTGAAATGCGATCAACATATATCAAAATGGGGTTGAAGTTCTTGAAACACTTGAGCAATGTTGATGTTGCTGCATCTTGCTTGAGAGCGGCTTGGAAGTGCCCTTCAAACGCGTGCGCGGGCAATCAACAAGCTCAACCGGGGGTGACCGACACGTGGTGTAGCACGCCTGGTTGATTCCCTCCGCCATTGTTGGCTGCACTGTTAGATCTTTTGGATGTTGTGGCGAGTGGGAACCTACCAGAGAAATACGCTCCCCTACAACGTGGAGTTGTTTCCAGCCAAAAGGGCAGCGATCCGAGCCAAAGCACCCCTGCAGACGTGCCCAGCGTGGTCTGCTCCCATCCGAGCGGAACCGTTTGCAGCGTCCCGGCCTCCCACGTGGCGCTGGGTGTTCTGTTGGAGCGCTTGAGCCTGGAGGATGCGCTCATGTGCTGCCGGCTGCTGCTGCTAGAGCGCCAGGCGATGGGGCTCGCGGCCTGGGTCCATCCGTTTGAGGGACTTGTTTGGGGGTGAGACGGGAGGCCAAAGCAAAACCGCTCATTTAAGGGGTGCCACCCCAAAAAGTGTGTGATGCTTCCCTTCCGGCATGGTGGAAGTGGTCAAGGATCCACTGCGGCGAAAGATGAGTTAGCTCATTTTGGGAGATTCAGCATTGCTGTGAAAATGTAGGATGCAAGGACCTCCAGCGGTGCATGTTTCTTGGGAGGGACCCCGCTGACTTGCGCCCCGCTTCCAGCCACCGCGGGCGCCAGGTGGTGTTCCGATCCAGCAGCTGCCAGGTCCTCGTGGCCGCCTGTGCCTTGCTTGTGGCAAGGTTTGTAGCAGTTGCCTCCGGTCTTTCGATGCCACGGCGGACGAAGTTTTTGGTGGCCATGGTGCCCTGACGATCCCCAAGTGTGGCGGTTTGCTTGGTGTTTCAGCTGGGGCCACCAGAACCCCAGAACCAGAGTCCGGGTCAACGCGGGAGGTTGCCCGGCGCTGTGAGGTGAGGCCTTTGCGCGGGTCTTGCTCTTCCCCTTCCAATGGCGCCACGTCTACTGCCCCAACAGCCCAGTGGGCCGTTTGAAGGCGGTTGGGCCAACCTTGGGCCCGTTGCGTTTATGTCCTCAAAAGGAAGGAGGGCATTGGAGAGAGAAGCAGCTTGTTCCCAGAAAAGTTCAAGATAGACCCCCCTTGTGGAGAAACAAGTATGAGAACAAACAAACAAAACCAAAGACAACAAAAACCAAAGCAAAAAGCAAATGGTGCCAGGCTGCCGGGCCCTGGCTGCTGGGCTTGCGCCGGGAAGTGCTGGAGCTGGGCCCCGCAGCGCTCACCGCGCTGCCGCTGGACGACCACCGCCTCTGCGGCTCGGAGCCAGCGGTTCGGGGGCGTCGGCGTGCTTATGTATCGCCTACGTGTGGGCGCGCACACGCACACGCACCTATTTAGTCGATATACACATGAATATATATATATATATATATTGAGTCGAGGGACGTTGAGATGAGAAGCTTCTAAATTGGGAACGGCACAAGCCAATAAATGAGCAAAGGCATAGCAGAGCAAAGACGACGTAGCAGAGCAAAACGTAGCAGAGCAAAGACATAGCAGAGCAAAGACATATTAGCAGAGCAAAGACGTATTAGCAGAGCAAAGACATATTAGCAGAGCAAACACATAGCAGGTCATCCCTTTGCGCACTTTCGGATGGCAGACCTTCAAAATCGCATTGTTTTGTTCGGTTTTCAGTCTGCCGAACCTTGACAAAGCGAACCATTTGCGCACTTCGGCTGGTTTCCAATTGCCGGATTGTCAATCAGTGAATCAGTGAACCCCCTGCGATTGGCCGACCTCGAAGCCAAATGTCAGCCCGGAGCAGATTTCTTTGTGGTCGCATGGGTCTGGGCGCGGTCCTGTCGGAGTCGGACGCGTTGGAAAGGGCAACGTGCACCGCTTCGCAGCCTCAAAAAGTGATCATGTTGCGCACTTTCGGTGGGTTCATCTTAACGACCGCCTTGCATTTTCGGCTGGTCGACCTTGCGCTCGGGGTTTGCTCGGAGTCTGGGCGGAGTCTGGGCGGAATCTGTGCAGAGTTTGGGCGGAGTCGGACGCATTGGAATGGGAACGCGCGCCTCTTCGCAGCACTCGCTTTCAGTGGTTCGACGTTAAAAGACTCGTTGTTTTCTTGCGTGTTATTTTAAACGTTGCCAGGTGAACCCTCCGCGTACTTTTGGCTGTCAACTTTCAAAAACTGTGTTTTTTTGTTTTTCTCGATTGTGAAGCGCGCTGTCGGCTGGGGGGGGAGGGGGTTTTTGAGCACTTTTTCCAAGTTTCAATTTCCATGACGTGTTAGTGAACACAAGAACGCGCAAACACGGAGATTGGACCGCACGAGGTGGCCGCTGAAAGCAAGGCAAAAAGGTCGAACAGAGGGACGGGCGAGATGACAGAACGCGGGTGGGTGAGCACAACTTGCCGTGCTTTTCTAAATATAGACTCTCCCTTGTTGACACTTCCGACCCCCAGCTCGTCCTGGGAAAATCTACGTAAACACGGAAATGCGTTTGTATGTGCGCACTCATGGATACAGATATCCACTCCGGATGTACATCGATCAAAGGACGTCGAATGCCCGTGTTATATATGAGCCGCCCATAGCAGCATTTTTTAGAGCGCTTTTGTTGGCGTTTGGTTGACGTCAACGCGCGCCTCTTGCAACTCAGACACCTTCGTTAACTCAGAAGTGGGCCTTTAATGCCAATGTGCAACTTCCATCCTCAAATGGTTGACGTGGGTCCTGACATGACCAAAGCTTTGAAGCTCGCAACTTGCAGTTGAAGACATCCGGTGGCCGCAGCCGGGAGTGAGGCTCAGTGTTCGACCTGGACCTGGGGGAGGCGGACCTGGAGCCGGCGGTGGATCGCCTGCCGGAGCTGCCGCCCGGCCTGGCGAGCAAGCTGCGGGCGGGGCTGAGCCGCTTGCTGGTGCGGCCCCGCCCCGAGGTGCCAGTGGCCGAGGCGGTTTTCAACATGGAGCTGCAGAAGGCGCCAGCGCGGCGAGCGGCATACAGAGAGACCTTTTTCTGTTGTTGCCTCAGAAGAAAGGCCCCTTGAATTTGTGAGACTGCTTTTTGGCGGCGTCCAGGGGTTTGGCAAATGTCGGCGAATCCTTGCTGAAACCTGTTGCTGCAGTGATCCAGCGCCTGCCGACACTAACCCATTTGTTTCAGCCCCGAGGTGTTCTTCGAGTCACTGGCAGTGCTATTTTCCGGCCTTCGCCAGCACATGGCACGTGCCGAAGGCACGTGCCGAAGTCACTTTGATGTGCAGGGCTACGTTCACAGCAAACCAGTGGAGGCACAACCATTTTGCCGTGCGCTGGCGGAAACCACTGCTTTCCGCGAGCTGTTGCAAGAAATGGTGCATGAGAGGCATCCATTCGAAGAGGCCGCGGTGCAAGAGCAGCTGTTGCCCGATAGCTTTGCTGCAATTGTGGAGTGCCTTGAGAATGAGGAGGGCAACCAGGGCGAGCAGGGCGTTCTTGGCCAAGACTCCAACTTCAGCCTAACATTAGAGAATACCCACGGCCCGTCCTTCCACAGCTGCTTTTCCGACCTCTCGTCTTCGTCTCTCACCTCTGCCGCGAAGCTGTTGCTTTGCGAGGGGCCCTTTGCATGGCTGGAGCTGCATCTCCACTTTGGCCCAGTGTCGGAGGTGGGGAAAGGCAGAGTCCTCGCAGAGTGGACGAGACCAGCGAGCTTGGAGCCCCCGAGTCGCAACGGAAAGAGAGGCGGGGGACGGCTTGGCTGAGTGCATGGTAAGAATCATGACAGCTTCTGCTTCTGGAAAAGCAGGGCTGCAGAAGCAGTACATGTGCCGTGGTGAATGCGCATCGTCATTTCGGTTTGTGCTTGATCGTCACTCTTTTCCAGACTCTCGGCAAGAGTTGCAAATAGCCTGAATTACCATGAGCAGGCCCATAGGAGGAATGGCCACGCAAGTATCTGCAGATAGCGCAGCAACACGACCAGGTGCCGCCTCGGGTGTCCAGGCCTTGGTTGCTGCTGTCAAGGCCCAGCTGCTGTGTGAAGGCTCGAGGTGGGCTGAGGCTGGGACATGTCATTCGGGCGATTGAGAGGGGAACTTCCAGTTTTTGCCCTGGGATCATTTGGCTGTGGGTCAAAACCAATGGTACCATTTTGGGGTAGGTGCACCACCCATTTTAGTCTATCTTGGATTGGGATGTTCACTGGGGGTACAGGATTTTGACCCATGGCCATTTCATGCATTTGCAAGTGCTATGCTGGCAACCGTCAGGCAATCATTTCCCAGCTCACTTCTGACAGCAGCTCATCCGAGCAGCAGCTGGTGAAGCAGTTTGCAGAGCTGGGCAAAGTGGCGACCGCAGGCAAAGATCACGCTCGAGCCGAGGTTGTTTTTGACAGCAACTTGCCAGCGTGCTTCCGGCCTGCTGAGAAGTCACAAGCTTCCAGCCCTCCACCGGACGGATCCGCCTCAGAGACAGAGACCCAGGCCGCAGAGTTTGCAGAGTCCGAAGCCTTGCCAATGGTTTTGAACTCCGCGGTGCGGTGTCTGAGCACACCACGGTCTCCCTGTGCACTGGCTGTGCACTTACTGCGGCGGGCCTATTCTTGCCTGTACTCCTTGCAGACGGAAACATTGAAAGCAGAAGTGAAGCTGGCGCGTTCAAAGTCAGAGCTGGGCAAGAAGGTGCGCTTCTCCCGAGTATCCACCCCGTTGGAGGACAACGGGACCGAGTTCCTGTCCCCGGCGGGCCAGCGTCGGAAGACGCTGAGGAGCATGACCACATCCCACCTCTCTCTGAGCCCGAGCAGGAATTCGGGGCCCCGGTCGCCTTTGTCCCTGTCCCCGGAGCGCGTGAGGGACAGCGGGAGGAAGGGCCGCAGCAGTGACCCCAGCATCCTGACCTCCCCAGTGAGAAGCCCTCGCAGAGGCAGCAAGGAGAGGTACGAGGCCCCGCAGGCGGTGGAGACCATGTGCCGGGACTTCTGCGAGCTGCAGCTTTGTCGTCCCGAAGAGCTGGGCCATGAAGAGCGCATCTCCTTTTGGCTCAACGTGCCTTGGCGCAACTGGGGTATCCAAGACTTGGCAGGCTGACCAGCCGAGGTGCTCAATGCCTCCATGCTGGCGTGGATTTGCGCTGCTGCGCCCGGACGGCTGGAGAGCAGCTTGTTTCCCATGCACGTTGCCCGGCTTGGGATGGGGCGCTTGGAATGGGGCGCTGGTCCAAGAAAAGCCTACCCAGCCCATCCGATCTCTGAAGTCCCGTGCCGACGGCTTCCGAGGTCTTGCTGAACTTCCTGCAGCGCAGCCTGGTGAACGTCGCCGGCCAGGTGTTTAGCCTCTTGGAGTTGGAGCACATCGTGCTGCGGGCGCACAGCAAGGCGCCGAAGTTCGGCTGGGTGCAATGCCCCAAGGGCCGGCCAGGGGATCCCAAGACGGACATGGGCCTGGGGCAGGCCGCCCCGGAGCCTCGGCTGCGGCAGCCTCGGTGGCTGGTTTTGGGCCTTTGGCTTTTGCGGTTGACAAAGCTGAGCACTTGGAACGAACCAAAAGGGGCGCGAGGCTGACAGGTCCAGGACCCTGGAGCTTCAGGCTCCATGTTCGCAGGCGCCGTTTGGTTCGCATTCTTGGTGTGCCGTCGTGGGTTCTGCTGGTCTGTCAGTCTAAACTGCCAGACGCAGGCGATGCCCTTCAAGGGTTTTCTCGTGAGCCGGTCGGTGCGCTCCAAGGAAGTGAACTTCGGCATTTTCTACCCCTTACGCTTCGGCTGCGCGCGTCTACGCATTTACCATCCCCAGGCCGGCGAGTGCGCAAGCAGGAAGTGAAGGGACGCACGGGAAAGGGAAGAGGCAGCAAGCCAGAATCAACACACATCATCACCAGCAAGTGCTTGATTAGATGACGCAATTTCATGAGCGTGATCCAAGGGATCTACTTGTTGATATAGGTTGCAACATCACGTGGTATGTTCGATTGAGGCACATTGCTTTCGGTTCGGATCCTCTGATCTTCTCCTGGACCTGGAGAACCATGGTGCTACCTCCAAAATCAAACGAATTGCCAAGTATCAAAATAAACATGTGAAAGGCTTAGATCCCCTCTTCAAGCCTTGGCTAGGCAGGGAAGCATGGAAGCAGGGAAGCAGGGAAGAGTACACAACCTGTTGGACCGTTCCGCGCAGGCGGTGAATGAAGAGCTGCTTCTGAACTGCGCCCAATACCTGGTGGAGTCCATGTCAGTGGACCGCAGGAGGCGGCGTGTGACACTGCCGCCCCTGCTCAAGCGCCTCAGATCGCTCTGTTTTAAACGAGAGGTCTTCTTGAGGGCCGATTGGAAGATCAAAAGGCTAACTTGGAGGAAAACACACACCTCAACTTTCGAGGGGTTTTGCACCTGCAAAAGCCGATCGGGGCCGGAGTCATCTGTAGGCAGGGCTAGTTCAGACCCCTTTGCCTAGTGGCTCATTAGAACCTCCAGCATTCGCTTGCAACGTGTTTCGCGCATTTGCATGTCGGTTTCAGCAAACAACTTGATGCGGTCTGAAAAGCTGTATTTGGCACTTGAAGTTGTTTGGAGAACAATGGTTCGAAGAAAAAGCGAAGCCTGCGGTGCAGCTTAGGAACAGGCATTCAACATGATGTGTGCTTGTTTGGATGCCAAGAGGTCCATTTCAGACCTGGCTGGGCAGCAAGCCATTTTGGGTTTAGCTTGAACTTGCCCCAGCGGTGCGCGGCAAGTAGCGGGGATGCAACAAGCCGAGAATTCATATGAAGTGCACTCCGATACGGTTCCCGCATGACGCCCTCAGCAAGCGGTTCGGTTTCGGCAGTGGGGCGAGTCCCGTAATATGGGAACTGGTGCATTGTCGTGGCACATGGCCCCCACAAAAGTGGAGTTGTTGTTTTCTCCCCGAAACACCTGAGGTATTACTCGCAGGACTTTGGCTCCTCCCACGCAGCCCTGCTGCCCTTCGCGCAATCTGTGCTGGAGGCATGTCACAATATGCCGACATATGCCAACACATGCAGTCGCGCATCCCTGGCAACAAAAACATTAGCGCTCACTCAACATTTGATGTTTCAAGAAGAATGCCAGCGTTCGAGGTGTGTCTTTCTCCCCTCCCCTCCCCTCCCTCCCCTCTCCTCCTTCCCTCCCCTTCCTCCCTCCCTTCCATCCCCCTCCCTTCCTCCACCCCTTCCGTTCTTCCTGGATCCCCCCAAGACTCCTTGTATCTTTTCTGGTTGGCGCCTCGCACATCCGCAGGCCACCCCCGTGGTCTTGGAGAAGTCTCTGTGGCAAGGCCGCGCCATGAGCTCGGCGGAGGCGCGGCTGGCGCGGCAGGCGCCGGAGGCGGCGCAGGAGTTGGAGCAGCTCAGGCCTGGGACAAACCAACTTGGCCAGGAGGTTTGGCTTCTTGAGATGACATTTGTTGTTGGGTTTACATTGATTCTTGGTGTGTTTTAATGATATTTTGTTGGGTTCACATGGATTCTCGGTGGGTTTAATTGATTCTTGGTGGGTGCTAATGGCAGCAGTTTCCTTTCACGAGTCTTGGTGATTTTTTTTTTTATGACAGCAAGTTCGGTCGTCGATCCTTGGCGTGTTTTGCTGTATGCCAGAGCATCCAGAGAGGGTGCTCTCAGCTTCTGCATTTGGAGAGGTCCCTAACTGAGCTTCAGGAATCGGAAGCAAATATGGCGTCTCATGTGCTCTCCCTTTCGCAGGCTCGAGAGAAGACACCTCAGCATTTACATGTTGATCTAGTGCGCCATCAGCCCAAGAAACAGTTTTGCTGGGACAAATGCCTAAGTTTATATATATATATACATATATATATATATATATTGCATCCCAGCAGGAGTCCACAAACCAGTGACAGTACGTCTGGACAAACTTCAGCTTGAACTCAGTTGTTCATTCCAAGCAAAGAACAGTCAAAGCAAGATTTGCATGACCTCTCACGGCAAACTAACAACAAGACACATCTCACTCTTTCAGTCTCATGCAACCGTATTGATAAGCAGAACGGCGAGCTGAACTTGCTGAATTATATCAAACTAGATGTGAGTTCTTCTACTCTCATTTTGTTTCCTTCTACAAATGGATTTCTACTCTTTTACACTTTTTTGCTGCCTAGTACAACTGCGCAATTCAGCATTTTGTTTCCAAATAGCATGCATTCACCACCAGATTTCAATAACTGCATTGCCACATGTATTTGTTCATGTGCATCCGTGCGTCTAGCTAGACAGCACACTTTTCCTCATTCAGTTTTGATGGTGCAAGCACTTATTGTGTACTGCAATTGGGATTGGCCACGAGGTTGTGGAAATGCGTTGCTGTGTGCTTTTTGTATGGCAGTGTCTGTGTCGGGCCCTTCGCTGCGGTCAAGAATATGTGGCAAGAACAACAGGGTCGGAAAAAAGTAAATTAAAAACATGCACAGCCGTGGCAAGTTTGGATGCTGCTACATCTGCAAGTGGGCGTTGCATAGCTCACTGACTTTTTTTGAAACCCGCGGGCCCGCGGGGATTCGGATTTGGTCACAGTGGTCACAGGAAAGAGGGCGGCTTCAACACTGTAGCTGTGCACTTCGCGGACTTCAATTGGCATCTGGATGTCCCGGAGGCCTTGGGGTTCACGGAGCCCTGCTGCCCAGAGCCTTGGATTGGAAGGCCACGGGTGGAGCTTCCAAATTCAGAGGCTTAGGGCTTGTTCGGCCAGGCCCGCCACGTGTTCCTGAATTCGTTTGTTGGGAAAGGGGAGCACAGGCAAAAAGAGGCCAAGGGACGGACTTTAAACTCAGGTCTGCTTTTGCGCCTTTTGCGCCAGGGTTTGGGCGCAGCTCTTTAGACGAAGCATGGCCCCAACGCCGTTTTTTCTTGCGGCGACTCGGCCGAGGAGCTGGAAGACCTGCATCACAGCCTTGCCCGAGAGAGGCCTTTGAAGGCCGACAGGGCATTGTTGAGCCTTGAAGCCAGTTGTTTTTCAGCCTCGATATGCCCAAAGAGAAGGGGCTTCTAGTTGCCAAAATGCCCCCAGAAGCTCAGAATCCAGAATCGGATTTCGGTTTGCTTCTCAGGTGGTGCAGCCGCCTGGCCGCCCGGAGCGGCCTGACCTTCGGCGCCGGCGCTACGAGTAGGCGCGCCAGAAAGCCCCAGCCCGCCAGCCAAGCGCCGCATGTGGCAGTTGGTCGGCGCAGTCGGCTGTTTGTATCGCGGGCCATTCAATGTGAAGGTCTTGGGTTTGCTTTGGTTTGCTTGGGCGCACACTGCCACAAGCTCGCCAGCCAATTTGAAGAGCCTTGCTTGGAGCTCCAGTTTGGCCCATTGTGGCTTGAAACTGCTTTCTCGTTTCCTCAAGAACTGCGGTCGAAGTGGGGATGATTGCGGTGCGGACTCTGCCAGGTCGTGCGAAGATCGAGCTGTTAACGACCCCAACTTGCAGGAGCCACGGATGGAACTTGCGGAAGGCTGTCACAAAGAGTGGTCACCTCCTGCAGGTTGAGAAGATGAGAAAAGCATTCAGCAAGCCGCAGCACAAGCCGTGCGGTTCGGCTGGAGCAGTGAACAGCGCTGCTTTGCCTAGGGGCACCTGCCAGTGTGGCACACTGCAGGTGGACAAGCTGGCCGTGATGAGCCTGCGTGCTCGTTGTGAGAAAGAAGCGGTGAAGCGCTCTGTTGCTTGCTGCTCGCGCGTGAGATCACTTGCCATGCGTCATCCGCAAATTGTAGAGGCTGAAGAGTTAGTTGCCCAAGTAACTTTTGGAGGATTGCAGTTTGGACATGATGAGGACCAAGGACGTGGATTCAGGCAAGACCAAATCACGTAACAATTTTTGAGCCAGGTTGAGGTCCTATTTGCGGGGGGGGGGAGGGGCCGCGGGGTTCGCGAGGATCTCCAGCTCCAGGACTTCGTGGAGAGGCCGAGGTGGAGGGAGGCTTCAGACGCCTTCCGCCGTGGAGGGGCGCCTGGGGTTTTCTTTGAAGCGAAGGGGGGCCGGAGGCGTGAGGTATCGTGAGGTGTGAGGTTTGGATGTTGGTGCTTCAAAGAAACTAAGGAAGCTAGCTAGTCAGGAAACAAAATGCAGAATTTGTGCAACGACTTGGAGGGAGCGTCCTTCACGGAGCGTCCTTCATGCCCACTAAGGACATGCTGATAGACTATGGTTGCCCAGGCAGGGGGATTGGACTCTGCCCTGTGCGTGCCAAACGAGCTGGCCTCCAGGTGGCGGCAGCAACGCCACCATCGTGTACCACAACCCCTTCAACAACGGCTTCCTGGCAATTCCATTTTTTCGGCCACGCCCCGATTGAGAGATTTGATCTTGCCTTGTGGGCCCTCCCACTAGCACACTAGCATGGAACCTGACTGGCTTGTGGACGTCGAAGATCGGCTTCCTCCAGAAAGGGGCCCTTTCTTGGGTCATGGGTGCGCCTCCCGGCCATGGCTGAGGCAACCCTCAGCAGCTGGCCAGCCGAGTGGAGGACTTCCTGGCCAAGTCGGGCGTCCGGCGGGCGCTCTGGCAGCACTTTGCTTGACCTCTTTGGGAAGGAAGCTGCGCAGAGGAACAGCCGGCAGCGAGCAGTTGGACGTTGATCAGCACAGCTGGAATGGATTGAACCTCTGGCATTCGGGGTTGCATGGGTCAGGGGTGGGGATTCTGATGTTTGCTCGAAAACAGGTGCTTCGGACTTAGACTGGCTGAAAACGGTTGACAGCTGCCTGAAACAATGACAGCCCGGTGACGTCATTCGGTGAGTTGCAGGGGGATATGTGTGTAAGCAAAGCAAAGCCACCCTCAGCATGCAGGTGCCAGTGATTGTATGTATGCCTTTTCAAAGTGGCGTGATAGTGGCAGTCTTGGCTTTCTTGAACGATCCGCCGTTTTCTACGCGCAGCCATAGTGCTCAGGAAGTGTAGCATGATACGTGCATATACCTATTTCTGCTTTCCCAATCTTTATGGATCAGCACATGTTTTGTCAAGAATCACGTGTGACACTTTGACCCCAGTCCAAGCACCACAGCCCTCAAGTCCAAGCAGCATCTGCTGGCGATGCTTGCGGTAGAACAGCTACTGCATCAATGGGCAGCACTCCCTCAGCTCCGGCGCTGAGTGATGCCGGCTTCAGAGTGAAGCTGGTGGGCCAGGCCGTGGTGGAGGGTCGGTCGGCCTTCGATTTCCTGGTGGAGCCCCCGGTGACCAATGTCTCCGTTCCCGGGCAGGTGGTGCGGCGCACCTGGGAGGATCTCAGCGCCTTGTCCGGCGCCATGGCTCTACGGCACAGGCGCGCCCCCGCGTGCCCCAGCTCCCTGATACCCGCGTGCTTTGCGGGGGACCAGGCGAAGCAGATCGAGACCTACCTGCAGCACTTGCTGCTGCTGGAGCCGTGGCCCAGATCCAACGCCCTGCGTCAGTTCTTGGCCATCGCCATGCCGCCGCCGCCAGCTGGCAGCTGCCAGGAGGATCCCGTCACGGCCGGGAGGCAGCGCTTGCCAGTAGGCACGGTGGCCATCGTGCTGGGCTTCTGTGACGCGCGCCAGGTGGTGCGGCGCTGCAGTCAGGTGTGCAGATCCTTTCGTGCAGCCTCGTTGCACCCACGATGCTGGCCGACTCTGCGCGTGAGGTCAAGGTGTGCTGAGAGGTGTATTGACGGCCTGTGCTCGATCCTCCTCAGTGCTTCTGCTGGGCTGCAGGTTTTAACCTTAGACCTCACCTTTCAGCACAGAAACCTTGGCGTAGCGCTGCCGGCAGAGCTGGTGCTGAAGCAACTCCAACGGCTGACTTTGAGGCTCGGAGATGCGGAATCCGCGGCATTTGCCTGCGACCTTCTGGGGTGCGTGGAGTCGCCAGGCCTTCGGGAGATGCGAATCTCAGCACAGCTGACCCCGGCCCTACTCCATGCAGTGAGCATGACAGCTCTTAGTGCAGAGGGGGGCCTCTTCAGCCTGGCATTGAAGAGTATCTCAGAGCGCGTGAGGCTGGAGACGGCCACCTTGACAGCCTTGCAGGAGCTACTGGAAGTCGCGCCAGGTCTCCAGAATCTGTCCATCTCCATAGAGGATCCCAGGAGTGGCGCCAGCCGAGCCTTTGCTGAGCCGGTGCCCGTGCTGGCAAACCTCACCGCCTTCCGGCAGCTGCAGAGCCTCAACTTTGACTTCCTATCGGATGATGTGCTGGCAGCACTGGTGCAGGTGGCTTGGCAGGGAGCCGTGCTTGTGGGTGACGTGGTTCTGGTTGAACGGCCAGTGGCAACTATAAATGTAGGCAGGGAAGAGCAGCCAACTTGTTTTGATTGAACTGAGGGTTCTTGAATAGATTCAAGTTGCTCAGGTAGATGACCGCACCTGGAACCTGCGCACTGCCTTCTTCTCGGGATGCAAGGAGGTGATGGAGGACCCCGGGCAGGCCCTAGCCACGCTGCTTACGAAGCTGTCCCCCGACCTTGAGGAGCCCCTTGGCCCTTGGCTGACGGACCGCTGATGTCAAAGCTAAGCAAACCGTTTGACAGGATCAGATGATGAGAGACATAAAGATATGGCTGTGGGTCAAAACCAATGGTATCATTTTGGGGTAGGTGCACCACCCATTTGAATCTTTTTTAGTGTGGATTGGGATGTTCACTGGGGGTACGGGCTTTTGACCCATGGCCATATGTAAGGGATGTTCCAGGGATGTCGCTTTAGCAGCCCAGATGTTGCAACCACCACATCGCCGCTGTCACATTTGGTTTGCCCCCGCAAGTGGGGGGATGTAACAATGTGGGCAAATGGTTTTCTTGAGTTTGTTTCCCATGCAGAAGAAACTCGTGGCGGGTGCACGCGCCTGGCGATGTTCCGATGGCAACTTGGGATTCATTTTGGCATTTGTTGCCCTTCTTTATTGTCGAAACTGTGTCCGCTCCCAGGGCATCCTCTCTCCCCCCCGTCATCTGAATCAGCTCCCGGCCAAACTCCGGCATGAAGCAGAAGAATCCAGGCACCCCTTCAGCTTCGTGTAATGTGTCCGAGAAATCAAGCGGGAAATGAGAGAAGCAGAAGTGTGGGGGAATTCCCCCGAGAAGCACCTATTACACCTGGACTTAGTTTGAGAATGGTTCCAAATTGGAATCCTTCTGCATCCCCGCTTCCTGTATGCCTACTTCGGTTGCCTTAGGTGACATTCATCCGTCCACATTGATCGCTTGGAAAGAGGAAGGCTTGAAGAGGTTCCCGCAACTCACCGCGGCCGGTTTGCACGGCCCCGGGTAGGTTGAGCCTTAGGTTCACCTTGCTGGTGGATTTGGAGCTGATGCTGCGGGACTTCGCCCAAAGCTTCCACCAGCGCCTGGGGCCGCTGCCCAACCTCTGGCAGGGCCGGGAGAAGCTGCGACGCCTGGAGCTGAGCCTCGGAGCTCGCGGCGTCTCCTGATCAGCCCCCCCCCCCCCTTTTTCTCGTTTTTCTCGGCCCAAACTTCTTTGTTTTTGAGACCGGGGGCTGTGGTGCTGCACTTTTTGTGTGTTTTTTGAGGCTTGATCTCTTGCAGAAGTTGTGCGCATGTTTCTTGATAAGTGTTTGCCTCTCTGAGTGGCACTGGGCATCTGAGTGTAAGTCTTGGCACTGTTCAATTTAATTTTGGCACTGCTAAATGAAGTACTTTGAATGCAAGAGTAAGTCTTGGCAATGCCAAAATTAGAATTGACAATACTAAGCTTAGCATTGGAAAACTGAACAGTAAGTCTTCACAATACTAAATTAACTACTGAGATCCTGAGAGTAGGTCTTGGCAATACTCGATTTAGAATTGTCAACATGTTCAATCAAGCACTGGGAATCTGAGAAGAAGTCTTGGCAATGCTAAATCTATAATTTTCAATACGTACTAAATTCATGACCGGGAATCTGAAAGAAAGGCCTGGCAATGTTCAATTTGCAATTGGCAATGCAATTTAGGATTGGCAATACTAAGTCAAGCACTGGGAACCTGAGAGTACGTCTTGGCAATATTCAATTTTTAATTTGCAAAAAAAAAGCAATGGTGGGAATCTGGCAATACTAAATCTAGAATTGTCAATATACACAAAATTCAGCACTGGGAGTCTGAAAGTAAGGCTTGGCATTTTTCCATTTGGAATTGCCAATGCTAAAATTAGCATTGGGATCTGAGTGTAAGTCTTGACAGTGCTCAATTTAAGTTTAACAATAGTATTGCCGAGACTTACCCTCAGAATCCCGGTACTTCATTTAGTATTATCTTAATCGAGAATTGCCAAGCCTTACACTGCACTCAGATTCCCAGTGCTTCATCTAGTATTGCCAGATCTAAATTTGGTATTGCCAAGACTTACTCTTGCATTCAAAGTACTTCATTTAGCAGTGCCAATGTTTAATTGAGCAGTGCCAACTAAATTGAATATTGCATTCTCAGAATCCCAGTACTTAATTTAGTATTGCCAAGACTTCTTCTCAGATTCCCAGTGCTTGATTTAACATGTTGCCAGTTCTAAATTGAGTATTGCCAAGACTTACTCTCAGAATCCCAGTAGATAATTCAGTATTGCGAAGACTTACTTTTAGTTTCCCAGTGCTAAGCTTAGTATTGCGAACTCTAAATCTAGTATTGCCGAGACATACCCTCAGAATCCCGGTGCTTCATTTAGTATTATCTTAATCGAGAATTGCCAAGCCTTACACTGCACTCAGATTCCCAGTGCTTCATCTAGTATTGCCAGATCTAAATTTGGTATTGCCAAGACTTGCTCTTGCATTCAAAGTACTTCATTTAGCAGTGCCAAGTTTAAATTGAACAGTGCCAAGACTTACACTCAGATTCCCAGTTCTTGATTTAGAAATGCCAATTCTGAGTATATGCTGAAAGTTCCAGATTTGGTACTGCCAAGACTTTCTCTCAGATTCCCTGTGCTTAATTCCACTGGTGGACGAGGTGCCACTTCGAAGTGGCAGAACCAGGCCGAATGTAACTCATGAGCCCATGGCTATGTTGGGCTCAAATGTGGTTGGTCCCCCTTAAGCCATTGTCTGGTTTATTAGGCCAAAAACAGCCTTGAGAACACCAGAAGAACTAGAGGAAAACCAAAGAAACAAAAAAACCCTTGAGAAAACCAAGAAAACTCGAGAAAGCCAAAAACAACAAAGAAACAAACCGGGTTGTGCTGCAAATAGTTTCCAAACCATGATGTTTTGTGTTTCTTTGTTTTTTTGGTTTTCTCGAGTTTTTTTTTGTTGGTTTTCCTCGTTTTTTCCCCCTTTTTTTCCTTCCAACATCTTTTCTCAAGATGTTTCCTTTGCTTGTGCTAGATCAAGTGAAACTGACATGGCTGACCCATGAGAAGACTGCACGCGGTCCCCTGTTCCGTTTTTTTTGTTTTTTTTTTGGGGGGGGGTTCGGCCCATAAACCAAGAGGCAACATGGAGGTCAAGCGGCAAGCAGACGGTGCATTCAGCTTCCACGTGTTTCCTGCAAACCTCTATCAAACAGGATGCACCATATGTTGGATGATTAGGGCTGCCATTTTAGTCCCGTGTCTTGTGTTTTGCGAGCCGGTACTGATTTTGTTATTATGAGCGCCAGATCAAGGTTAATTAGTAGTCTCTTAGGTGATAGCCACCACGGAATGGCAACGGCGCATATGCGCCGTCAATTGACATACGTATGCACGGTCTTTTCGCCCCCGTTTGAGAAGCTTGGCCCGCGGCTTGATGCGTAACATGTCTTGGTTCGCATGCAACCTGTGAGTCGCTTGACCAGGCCATCCGATAAGTTTAGCCTTGAACAGGGGCTGAACATCAAGCGAAGTGATGCTTTCTGCAGTCCAAAGCCGGAAGCTAAGAGGGGTGTTTGGACTTATGGACTTTGCCTCACTTGGGGGGCCCTAGGTCCGATGCTTCGCGCCCCTCCACGCTTTTGAAGATCGACAGTTGGAAGCCACCCACCTTGCTTATTGCACAACAAGCCCAGCCTCCGACTAAAGACATCCATTTTCTCCTGACCAACTGGCTGCCAAAGCTACTGACCATATTTGCTAGTTTGACACGCTTGGAAAGTTACCGCACTTTAAGGCAGGCATCCTCAAAATGCAACCCCTCTATTCATCAGGGCACCCTTCAGCGCCGTAAAGAGCAAACATGCAATTTCATGATACCTTCAAGTGCGTGTGTGTGTGTGTATCATAGCTCCAGAGTTTCTTGATATGTTTGATGTCTCAAGCATGCCATGTGGGCTACTAGGCTTGCAATCTCGGGACTCGGGCCTATGGCAAAATGCCAAGCCGAGAAGCCGAGGAATTGGCACGCTTTCGATGATGACGGGGTCGGCTGCCTTGTGGATTGCTGCCCACAGCTGGAGTCATTGGTCCTGGACAGGGCTGAGCCGCCGGGACAGAGAAAAAGAGAGAGAGAGTGAGAATATCCACTGTGGCTAGAGATGTGTGTCTTTTTAGCCTGTGCGAGTGCGGTTGTCCTCCTTTTTGCAGGTGCCCCTTACTAATCATGAGCACCTCTACTACACAAGGTGCAACAGCCTACAGCTTACACATTTGCACACATGCTACACAAGTACGCACATTCACATCTACAGCTTAGCACATCACATCTCCAGCTGCACATCTTAGTTCCATCAGATTATTACAGGCTTATTTTTCACAACTTCACGGGCACATCATCGCATCTACAGCACCCTCTTCATCACACAGGTACGTCATCAGCACATTATACTCTTTTGATCAAATCTTTTAGCAAGCACATCTTGCTGCAAGCTTGTCCTGCAACGCTCATGAGTGGCACAATTACAGCCAATCATCATCATCATCATCATCATCATCATCATCATCATCATCATCATCATTATCATCATCATCATCATCATCATCATCATCATCATCATCATCATCATCATCATCATCATCATCATCATCATCTTCTCGTTTCAGAGGCACATGCCCCCCAAACTAAAACACGCTGCCGTCGGCATGCCTACGGCTGGGGTTAAGAGCGACCGAGCTGATGGCGTCGCGAGTTGGGCATTGGGCTGTTTGTGCGGCACGTGCAGCACTCTCAAGTTGGGCAGGTCTCATGTTGAAGCCTCGAGTGCGAGGTATTGGACGGATGATGCGGTGCAGCGCATCGTGCTGGGCCTGCATAGCTTGCGTCACCTCCGGGTGAGGGCCTCCCCCATGATGTCGGACAGGGCCCTGCAGGCGTTGGGCTGGGGTCTGTCATATGCCTTTGTGCAAGCATGTTCAATTCACGTGCCCTGCAGTTTGGGCTGCTTGCATGTTGGCCAAGAGATGCCCCGGCACAATATGGACACACGTTGGCCGAGATGCCTCAGTTCCAATGAAAGAAAAGTTTCCAATTCATGGACCAGATGTGATTTGATAGCATGACATTACCACACATCATGTCTAAACAGCAAGTTCTTTGTTACAAAAAGTCAAGCTCATCCATTTGCTCCAAGCCTGCCACATTCAGGAGCTGCAGCAGGCTCAGCAGCTGCAGCTGCTGGAGCTGGAGCCATCCTACTCCATGTCCTCGTGCCTTGGGGGCACGGCGCTTTTGACGCTCGGTGTCGTGAGGGGCCGAAGCCGCTGCCCGTGTTGTAGACCTCGTGGTGCCCGATGGCCTGGCATCGTGGTTAGGGAGGCATGCACACACAACTATAGACGGTCGATTGCAATGCCGCTTGATGAGCAATCAACAAACATACTGAATGGGACCTGCAGTCAACTCTCAGCGACATTCGAGCTGGGCCGGCATTGTTGCAATACGCCCTCGGGCTTTCTTTGCGTGTCTCCTTGTCCCTTCCCTTCACCAATTGTGTCGTTTGCCAGGTTCGAGCCATCCCATTCCATGCCCCTTTGTGGGCCAAGTCCACCCCGTCCATGTTCCACCCCTCCCCTTCCACAAGTGTTTTTTGTTCGCGGTCCAGGATTCTATGATGACCCACATCCCCTTCCACAGCTGTTTTTTTTGGGGGTCCAAGATCCTAAGATGAGTGATCAGGTAACCCTTAATTTGTGCTTGGGATTGGTTTGGATTTGGCTTTGAAGCCCTGGTCCTTGTAGACGGTAACTATGAAAGCCCTCCTCCAATCCAAAGCACCGAGCTCCAAATCACCTTTTGCTTGGGAAACTGAGCCGGTCCAAGTCTTGATGGTCCCAATGGGAGGAACATTTTTTGGGTTTCACCCAGCCAAACCGATCCAAACCAAAGCGAGGTACATGCTGGACCAGCTGAAGGGCCCGGGTTTGGGCCTCGGCCTCGGCATCTGGGCGGCGCCCTGGGCGGCACTGCTGCCGGTGGTCCAGGGACAGGTCGGTCGGTCTCTTCCCATCTCCCGGGTGATGTGAAAAATCCCTTGTGTTGCCAAACCAAAATGCTGATCTTCAAGCTCCGCTGCCTTCCTCCAGCCTTTGATGCCACCAAAATTTGGTTCCCAACCACCCATGTGTCTATTTTGGTGCGCCCGAAAGAAACCGGAAAGACATGCTGAGAGAGACATGCCAGGCGGAGCTCCGATTGCTCCAGGCGCAGCACGAAACGGCTTCGCGCGCGCGGAGTCGGAGTGGGAGCCTCTCGGAGATGTACATAGGCCGGTAAACAGGCCGGCAGGCCAGGCTCTTGATGGGCACCCGACGAGAGGAAGTTCAAAAGTTTGACCTGTTGGCTAGTCAAAGGGAAGCCAAGTTCAAGGGGACCCTGTGGATTGTAATCAGTAAGGGTTTGACAAATCCCAGGTGCCCATCGATGCCTGTGAGATAGGATGGGTGCCAGGCACTCGATCAGGCACTCATGCGCACGCACGGGCGAGCTGGCCCGAAGGTGATGGCTGCGGAATGGCTTGTGCGATGTGCTGGCAAAGGATGGCGGGTGGCATGTGGCTGAAATGAGAAGCACATAGCTACACTTTGCTCATTTGTTGGTTGCCTGGATGATGATGGCTGCAGGCACACGAAAATACTAGTGCAAGGTTTGCACGTGTAGCCGCTATGCGTTTGACTGACTCAGCCATGAGATTACGCAGCCACTTGCCACCCCTGCACAGGTCAGCAACTGTCCATTTGGAGTTCTTGTTCGCGCTTGTGATTGCCCTGTGGGTGTTTGAGCTGGACGCAAGTTAAGAACAGGAAGCGCGGCTGGCCTGCGTGGTAGACAGCCAACTCATTCTGCATATCCTAAGTGCAGCTTCTGCATTTACGAGCCTTACAAACAACTTCTGGATACTTCCGGCATTTGAGGTTTCAGGGGAAGCGGGCCTCACGGGTTTGCTGCGTGATTTTGGGGATGTGCGTCCGGGACTTTCACCAAGAGGGGCAAAGCCTCGTAGCCAACGTAGTGGTAAGCATGATGGCGCAGACCATATGATCCCGGAATACCCGAAGGGGCCAAGCAGAATCCGAAATGTCGGCGTTTGTAGCTGGGTGTTTGATATTGTTTGATGCTTGAGGTCTTCAGCGGGCACCAGCCCCACGGCGAGAGCCCAACTGTAGTGCGACATGTCCGCACTGGCCTGCTGGTCATCACGGCAGACACCTCGCGCCTCGGGCTTCAACAGAGCATGGTGCAGAGGATTCGCTGAGCTCGGGGGGCTCAGTTGTCTCCACTTGTTGTTCACTTTGATAATATGGACAACTCTTTGGGATCCATGCTGTTGGAGCAGGGAGGAGGTGACATTTTTAGAGTGCAAGGAAGCCACCGCTAAACTGCTGTGGGCTTGGGCGTTTCAGTTGCCGCTTTCTCATCTAAGTACTCGCGACTTGCCTGCGTAAAATTCATGACATCAGGACTTTGGGTGTGGCAAACAGGTGTATTTGCAGGGGCCAACCTCAAAAGCGAGCCACTGGGCCACTGGCCGTGGCCCGCCAGTCGCCAGTGGCCGATTGGCATTGGGTGATGCTTCAAGTTCGAAGTGGTTCGTCACAAGGTGAATCTGGCAGAAGTGGAGAGGCGATTGTGTGAAGCAGATTTGCCTTTTCGGGGATGGTGGACAGAAGGGTGGCCACAGTGATGGGCTTGGCGCGCTCAGGTTTTCCAACCTGTCGGCGGCCACCTCAGAGGGCTTGGCTTGGAACCTTGCATGTGGTTCCACAAGAGGCTTCTTGAAGTTGCTCAGGCGCTGAAGCTATTCAACCAGGCCAACAACCGTGGGGAAGTCGTCACAGTTGTGCGCCTTGGAGCGATGTAGGTTTCGTTGTGGTCAAATTTGGGTGCTCCATAGGCAAAGTCACATTGCGGATGCTGGTGAAATTCGAGTCTCAAGGCTTGCCGATGGCATCATTCCATCCTCGCAAAATCAACCATCTCCTCATCTTGCTGGTCCTCAGTAGGGAATGAGGGAATGACCCCTGTAAACCATCCCCTCTGGTTTCCTTCTCCCCAAACGGTGCATTCTCAACACCCGGACTCGGTCATTCCCGAATGTTGACCCCATATACATCAACCCCAGTTCATCTATTGGAGGGGTGATCCCATCCAAAAGTGCTTCCCCAATACACCGATCTGACACCCCCTAGGAACTGGGGTTGATGAACATGGGGTCATCCCCTATGGCACTATCTCAGCCTTGGATCCGACGGTCCGAGGCGCTTGCGGGGCAACGAGGTCCAGCTGGAGGCGCTCCGACTTTGTTGGCCCAAGAGGTCGCAAGAAGCACAGAGCGGTTGCAGCCCTGTCCGATATCGGGGTGGGGCAAAACCCCGTGCTCAGCAAAGCAAAAGACATTTGGGTGCCTCTCTCTCTCTCTCTTTTTTCTCAGGGTACCCTTTTTGGTGGTTGTAAATAAAGGGAAACCAACAGGAAAACCACCATTTTGGAGGGGTCCCTTTGTGGCAAAGAGGCACTTGTCATGCTCAACTCGTTTGCAGGGAGTTCTCCGGGATGGCTCACCACATGGCTGCCGGTTGCACTGCGACCCAACCAAGGACCCGCGAATTGAATGAACCGGCGAGCGCTTGCATTTGAAATGTTCCATGCTCGCTCTGCCTTGCTAGGACAAGATGCCCGATGCACTGGCGCAAATCTCAGTGAAAATGTTACAATTTGAAGACAGGTCTTTTGAGCAGTTGAGTTCTTTTGTGCTTGATGGGCAGCTTTCCTCCTGGAAGGTCGGCTGTCAGCTCAACGATGGCTCTTGGGTCAAGACTGCCACCTGGCTGCAAGCTGCATGGCATCCACCGGCAGTCGTCGACTGGAGAAGCATTCAGGTCATGGAAGACGGCAGGGTGCTCGCAGCTCTTGGCAAAAGGTTTCAGGCGGGCATGGGGCTGGTGTGTTGGTGCTGATGTGAAGTGTTGCCTGTTTGTTTGTTGCTGGCTTGCTTGTTTGTCACTCCGTTAGGCTGATGCAGAGAGAGAGAGAGAGAGAGAGAGAGAGAGAGAGAGAGAGAGTCACACGGGGAAGGGAGGGGGGGTCCATATTTCTGATCCCTACATTTCTCATGCTTTTTGTTGGTCTCGGCGGCAGGTCAATGTGCAGACCATGCATCCCGGGAAGGCATGTCTCATGCTAAAGTCTGCAGCTTTTCCGCACGAAAGAGTTAGCATTTCAAAAGCCGCATGCTCGGCAGCAATCGAAGTGAGCAGAAAGCTAAGGTGTATGCAGATGAGCGCCTGCATGTCAGCCTCAAGAACCTTAGTGTGCCAAGCCTGCGATATGGCTGCTGAATCGATCCGGAATGCACTCTACTCAACGCAACAAGAATGATTTATGCAGGAGGCTTGGGTTGCTGGAAAGTTTTGGTTTGACCCAAGCACAAAAGGTTAGCAGAAACAGTTGCTTGGTCAAGGCGCGCAGGAAGTAACTTACAGGAACAAAATGTGAAGCAGTCCCAATTGTTCGCACTGCGTATTTGCAGTAGTTTGCCAGCTGCAGCTGATTTCAAAGATTTTGCTTTCAGGCAGGTGATGTTTGGATGTTCCTTTCAGCAACCCTGGCCCAAAGAGTACAAACCAAAAATTCCTGTGATTTTGGGGGAGTCTCCTTCAAGCAGCCCCAGACGCGCAGCTCCAGATGCGCAGCTCCCAGAACATCCCAGAACCAAACCGGCAAGCCGGCGGCGCTCTGAGGCGGAGTGGCTCCTGGAATCTCAGCTGGAAGTTCAGCTCTGCCCCACGGACGGCATGGAAGTTCAGAGCTTGCCGGGAGGCCCGAAAGCACGCGGCAGGCTGTGTGCGGGCTTTTGCCCCTGTTGAAGTTCATGCGATGGACCAACATCCAGACAGCTGTTGGTGCAGCTCCTTTTTGCGCTGTTGCTGCTCTTTATTTCTTGACCAAGCGTTCTCGATGGCAGTGCATGCAGGGGGGGGCCCTTCAGTGAACCAGCGCACGGGTTTCCATGCGCCTGTGCATCCGCTGAATCCGAATTGAGGTCCCATGCCATGCTCTTCAAGCCGGAGGCCGGCACTGAAGGGTCAAGTCTCCTTTGTCTCTTGGCGTTAGCCGCGCAGCGTTGCCCTAAAGTGGGCTAAATGACCAGGGGAGAACGGATCGGATCACGTCATCCGGATCCGTGAAGGGTGCTTGTGGTGACAGAGAGGTTGACACGCTGCGCCCGTGCAGGAGTTCATGTCTGCTGAGACATACATCTTTGATGGTCACGGTGCTTCTGGCATGTTTGGCAGTAGCTTGCAACTGCATCATAATTCATAATTTGGGGCAGAACAAATTCGAAGCTACACGTGTCTTCTCCATGGGTCACATAACCGAGAGCTCAGCCAAAGTTAGCCGTATCTTACCTGAGCGCGAAGGGCGTGGCTTCTGCCGCTTGCGGGAATACCGGAATTCCTCGGACAGGCACCCTCTGGGGCGTCAGAGGTGTGCAACACGGCCTCACCAACCAGGATCTGGAGCAGCAGGTGATCGCCAAGGAGTCTTGGCAGCGTGGTCCGTTTTGGGCATGCTTCACGTTGGGCTTGTTGTTTGGGACTTGTGTCTGTTCGTTAGGATCTTGGCATGCAGTAAGGTGTGCTGTGCCCTGAGTTGTTCCCAAGCCGGCTGTGGCTGGAGAAGTTCTTGATTGACTTAACATTGTCCCTGCCTCTTCTCCTGAGGCACCATTCTGGCTCCCTGGTATCGGATGTTTCGCTTGATTAGACCCTGGGGACCGTTTTTTGGCCTTTCGGACCAGCTTGCGACATGCGTAAGCTGACTTCACGATACATGTTCTGACTACCAACCCCTGGGTGTAGGTCTAGCTTGGGGTCAAAAAGTGGAGCCCTGGTTCTTGCACTGGCACTGATGCCCTCGACAAACTGTGGGGTGTTCTTCTTGAATATGTTCGTCGCCCTTATGTGTCAGTTGCACTTCGTAGGTTTTTGCCCCAATTCCTGTTGTTGCAAAGCAGACGCACTTCCTGCAGAAACCGGACGCTAACTGCCATGAGCAGACAGAAGGGGCTTAAAGATATCAAATAACCTCGCCAGGGCTCTTGCTGTCAGCCCGTGCTGTTCCGGAGCATTCCCTGATGCTGGTTGGCTTGAGGTGAACAGCCTGATCGCTGCCGCTTGGCAGAGATGAAGCCTCCTCGACACGATCCCCAAGCACAGACTTGGACAGGGTGACATGCAGTCTTTGCAGAGTGCGGATGAATCACATAGCGGTGGCCAGGGCAGCTAAGACGTAAACTTCCTAAGCCAGGATAGGATGCAAGTTCCTTTGCTGAAATTTCGAGGTGGGGGGGGTGGGTGGGGGGGTGGGTGGGCGCGTTGAGTGTTCCAATTCACACTACCAAAGTTAGACCCAACTGGCTCTGCTCATCCTTTGGATCTTTTTCCGAAGGCTGGGAAGCGAGTGCTGTTTGCCACCAACGACTCCAACTACTCCCGGAGGATGTATGTGGACAGGCGAGGGCAAGGCCAATGAATTCACCAGCGGAGTGTCCAATGATGTCCAGATTTTTGGACTGGATGGTGCTGTCCGCGTTGTGCAGTCGGGTGCAAGCACCTGCCGTGGGGAAACATACGAACAAAAAGCTGCAACACGCAGCAGCTTCACGCTGGGCTGCTACGCCCGCAGGTTGCTGCAGAACGGCATCCAGCTGTGCGATGACGACGAGATGTCCCGCAGACAGGCGAAGCAAAAGGCCGGACACAGCTTCAGAGCTGGGGATGGCAGTCCCCGTGTGACACTTTCCTGGCTCTTGTTCAAAAATGGACATGTTAGGGCTAATCCAATGCCGTGCCGTTGTGAAAGCATATTGTAAGAGAAAGTGCCCGCGCGCATGGAGCGCAGCAGTCTAGAGTTTGGCCACCACCGAATTTCCTGCATGAGTCAGTCTCAAGTCATGTCAGGGCATTGGGCATCGTGGCCAGGTCGTCACTGCCTCCTTTACCTGCGCCTGGTTTCTCAAGAAGGCGCCGGAAATTGCCCTGGTCACAGACTTTTTGCCCTGCTATGGCCATGAAGGGGGTTTGGAGAGGGCATTGCCACTGGGTGGAGCATGCCACTCCTAACTAGAACATGAGTCAGGCGGAGGCAAAGGTCGCTCGTGGCTCGTGCGCGGACATTTTCAAGGCGTCGACCTCCGCGGCGCAGGCTCTGATAAGACGACCTTTTGTCCTTTGCTCCCACCTGGGCTTACTGGAGGAGCTGAAGGAAGCAGGCCTGAGGATTGAATTGAGCTTTCCAGGAAGCAGCGGGCCGCCCCCATTGCTCTCCCATTCCAAGTAGCTAGGCCCCCAATTTTGTTGTGATGAGCCCCTTCATGACTGGAGCAGATCTTGCTGAGCGAACGTATGGACTGCACAGAAGCTATTCGCAGAGTTTCATAGCTACACATCAATGCAGAGAGGACGCGCCGAATGTTTCACAAAGGTATGTCCAGCTAGGACGATATTTAGCCCACCTCAATTGGTCGGGGTTTCTTCTGGGCTAGCCGTAGGTATCACAGACTACGTGGCGGCTCGGGCTGACATAGCATCAGTTTTCAGATGCAAGGCATCGCAAGGCGATACGAGAGGCAGGCAGTATTGCTGACAAGCGTCATGCCCGCAGTCTCCATTTTCCCACCTTTTGCTTGAGCACGCCCTGTTACGTGTGTGTGTGTGTGCGCGTGTGAGTGGATTGCTGTGGATAGCTTACCTGCCGTGCACCCGCCATTTGCTTTGCAAAATCTCGTCACCAGATCGGACATTTGAGCCGGGTGGCAAACCCAGGCTACGATCGATGAGTACGGGACCCCCAAGCAGGAGTTCTTCGCTCCGGCGGAAGCCTCACGAGTTCGCGAGTCGTTTTCTTTGGGTTTTTCTCATGGGTTTGCCTCGGGGTTCGGAGCCTGTACACTTACCAAAATTTCCCGAAACCAAGAACATATTTGAGTTGGTCAGATATATTCTTCACTCAAAGCCATCGGAAGGCCTGAAAACTGCTGAGCAGACACATCATGTACCCTTTGTTGACGGCTCACACGGCGGGAAAAGATGTGTGGCTCACCGACAGCTGCAGCCAAGGTGACCAAAGATAATGTCACCAGACTAGCAACTCAGCAGCATGGACAGGTCTCTTTGCTTGGCGCAACTTAGTCCGAAAGCACCGACGACCGCCCCTTTGACCTGACCCTTCATTGTTGATGTATTTGTATTTTGTTATCGCCGCTTGGGCCTCATGAATCTGCGTGAAACGGTGTCTAGGGCCTCTTGAATCTGCTTTTGTTAGCTGCATTGTTCTTGGCCCCAGGTTCATCAGTCGAAGGATGTGGATGCCATCGTTGCAGCCTGGCACTGTCACTGCTTGTTTCATTTGCATGGCATATCGTTTTGTTCCATCGTTTGAGCTTTCTGAGTCATAACGATCTTGTCCCGCTTGCGTGTGTCCCCATGCCAGCAGCCCTGGAACATTTACCATTCAGACTGGGGAATGGAGCCACGTAATTCCCAGGGCAAGTTGCTGGATAAAGCACTAATTGCGGTCAGCCGCGGAATCCTTGGCCGTACGCAGTTGTTTCATGGAGGCCAGGGTCACAGAGGGGATTCCTTGAAGCCGCATAGCGCTCATTGTGGGCCATCTTCTGTCCACATCATGGAACGGGCATGGTGGTTACGGGCCAGTTGTTGAGTTGCCATGCGGAGCGGAACTAATCATGCTGGCCGTATGATTGGGCTGCGCTTTTCGTCGGTCATGTGGCCCATTGCAAGGGAGCACTTTGAATATTTCATATTCTATCCCATGGTTGCGAATCTGCAAAGCATAGTATGCCTTACACGCAGCGGCAGCACTTTGCGATGCATTCAAAGTATCGACTCGCTACCTTCAGCGGGCCAGCTGGATTGATAGTTGCTGCGGTTGTTTGGCAGGTTGCGCCGGTTCAGCCGGCTGTCTGAAAGTGCAACAAGTAACCCACAAGTGCAAGCTGCTCTCATGAAAGTGACCTGAGGTCGGCTGGGACCAGCAGCTGACAGCCCTCAAAGTCGCCGTGGCCGCGGCCTTCCTAAAGTGGAGCCGTGATGGCGTGCCTTCGGCATGCAGGTTTTGACTTCTCAGCCTCAGCCTGCCTTGGGCCTCCAGGGGGTTTGGAGGCAGTTTGAGGGAAGGCCTCTTTCTGTCCACTCTGGGCCCAGCTCGCTGGACTGAGATGTCGCTTTGGGCGTGGGCAGCGGCTGTGCTTGCTTATGGGCACCGATGGCTGGCAGCCAAGGCTGAAGAAGGGCAGAATGTCATGCAGATAGTGATGCTTGGCAGCAGTCTTGCTCGTGTGATTCTGCAAATGTCTTGTGGCTCTCTTGGCTTGTTTGAGATGCAACCAGGCCAGGTTGGCCTGTGTCATCTTGCTCAGGCAGTGCTCCTCAGATCACGCTGGCGTGACCTGGTCCTGATTCATGCGGACTCTCCTGCGAATTGCGTGCTGAAAACCTGACACGTCCCTTGGAAGATTGAGCCGCAGGTCCTTGGCGTCACCGCCGAAGATTTTTTGCCTGGCCGGCAGTGGGCGAATCGCAGCATCCCAGCGGCTACTTGAATCGACAGCGTGACCGCGGGCTCGGCATACAGCCAGGCTCTGAAAGCTAAGGTTGGCAACGGCACCATGAGCCAGATGATTTGCGCCTCCGTGGGCAGGGATATCAAGGCAGGGTGTGGTGGAGAGGGGGTGGGTCTTCTGCTGTTGCTGCTGATGATGCTGCTGACGATGTTGTCGATGACGACGACGACGACGAGGATGAGGATGAGGATGAGGATGAGGATGAGGATGAGGACGACGACGAGGATGAGGATGAGGATGAGGATGAGGATGAGGATGAGGATGAGGATGAGGATGATGATGATGATGATGATGATGATGATGATGATGATGATGAACTTTCCGGCCGTGCAGCAGCCAGACTGGAGCACCTTGGCTCGGCTGCGCAGGCCATCGACGTGGGGAAGCCCTCGGAGGTGCTGATTGAGGCGCTGAAGCGGCCGGTGGAGGAGGAGGGCTATGGCCACTTGGCTGTCGGACTGGGGCGCTTTGCGACGAAGATGAGCGCGTCCTAAAAACCCGGGTGGATGAAGGTTAGTAGGGGAAAATCCCATGCATAAATAGGTTCAGACGCCTTCTTCATTCTGTACATGAGTATGACTCAGATGGTTTTCGCTACTTCCCAATTCGTTTGCTTTTCTACTGCTCTTCGTCTCAATTGATGTACGTTTGCTGCCTGGTGATTCTGGTGCTTCCCAGATGCTGACCAACTGCTTTTCCAATTTCATTGAGGGGCAATTTTTGGGATGTACCCTTTGAGACATGTAATCAACAACTTTCCCCCAAAAGAAAGAGTCCCAATCGCTTGCCAAGTGGATTAGGCCACAAGACTTACAAAAGGGCTCGGGGGGCCCTTGAGAAAGGAACAGGGTTTTTGAGAACTATCATGCAGCCTGTTGATGGGATTTGACGGGACGGTTGATAAAGCAAGGATGGGCATCTACAACTTGCACTTCAGGAGCACAAGCGAAAGAAGTGTTTTCTATTTTGCTGTCACCGGTTGACGTGAGGCAGGAGAGCAAACAGATGGCTGAGCAACACCTGAAGGCGTCACGATCCTCATCGCCAAGCTAAAACACTCGTGTCATAGGCGTGCAAAGGCCACGTTTTTTCTCAGTTCTATTCTGAGGTTTGCGCGCGTTTAAGTGTATGGACTGTGGCAGGTGCCGCTTGCGTCTCAGGGTTCGCCGGACATTGTTGAAAGTGATGTTGAGGAGTAGGCAGGCAAGCCTTTGAACAAGAAGCCCTTCAAGCAAGCGCTCAGCCAATCAAGTGCCCAAGTCCATGAAAGAAGCATGGTATCAAGTTGTTTTAGTAAACATTTAAGTCCTTGTGCACAAGTTCAAGCTGTTTATGGGTTGTGGGGTCGTGGTTTATGGTGCTGACCAGGGCTGCGACAAATTGGGTTTGAACCCGAGGAGTGCATTTGGACAAGGCAGTGATGGCCACTTGGCTTCATAGGGCCGAGGGTCGGGGTCGCTCCTTGCCATCCCAGGTGGAACAGGGAGTCCCTGGTTTTGTCCTGTGCATCCAGCTGTTCAGACATTGCTTTTTGGGACGGAGTCTTTGGAGGTGAAACCTTGTGCGCGCATGGCCTGTTGCCGTTAAGTTGTGTTGGCGTTGAAGCCTTGAGTTCCCTGAGCACGCCTGAAAAGATGCAGGTTGAGTCGTGTGATTTGTTGGCTTTTGACAGGCATATCATGGAGTTTGCCTGGGCTTTGCAAGAGGCTTGTCCACCGTGTGCTCACAACGATTGAGCAAGAAATGTGTGGCGTGTCTCAGGTTGGTGACACCTTGGACACTGACATCGAGCTTGCCGTGCGCAGCGGCATGCGCTCCTTATTGGTGCTCAGCACCTCGGCAACTGCAGCATCTATGCATGTCGCGGTGCAGCGGTGGCCAAGGTGGCGTCACCAGCCTAAGTGACCTCGAGAAGCTGAGAGAGACCACGCGGTTTCCCACTTGGGTGGTGGACAGCCTGGCAGACATCTAGCTTAGCAAGGCTTGGGCGCCAGGATGCGCCAGGCCCGACCATCTGCACTGCTGTTTGGAGGTCGCCAAGGCAAGCTGATGCGTGGGCTGTTTAAATCCTTTGAAGAGGTTAGTTCAGCCATTTAAGAATCGGCGACCTCCGCTCTCTGCTCGGATTTAGATGCATGCAGCATTCGTCCGTCCACAGCAGGTTCCAAACAGCCAGCCCTCAAATGATATCTCGTTTGTTATGGGGGATGTGCAGAAGTTAATGCGATGGCAATAGAGCTAAGCTCTTAGTGTGCCAAGCAAGCGTCTCTTGAAAGACCTGGAGAAGAACACGCGTGTTGCGATGGAAGATGGATGGTCCGGCAGATGGGTTGACAGCACAGTCACTTGGTGTAATGTCGTGAGCCTTGCTGCAGCTCATCATGCCGATGCCTTTGCCCAGGTCATTTCGCTTGGGCGAGATTGAGCATCTGCCTGTCGGCCCTGTCCCCATGACATCTAGGGCGGCAAAGGGTTCGAGTAATTCAGTACTGGGATGCACTTTGGACAGGTTCCAGCGGTCGCGTCCTAGTTCAAGAGTTTCTGCTTGGGCAGTCTCAGGGGATGGAGTGGTGAACTGCCTCATCTCGAACTGCGTCAGTGGCTCAATGCATGCCACTACCAACTGGTAGCCTTGCACAATCTGTGCCGCGGTCGACCACGCCGGTTGAAGGTGATCAACTTGTCCCCGGACAAGCTGGGCGCCCGGGAACACCCTGAATTGCGGCTCAGTCACCAGAGTGGCCTGGTGTGTTGGTCCATGTCCCAAGGCCGCAAGTTTATCGTGAGATGAATCGCGCCAAAGACCCAGAGCACTGGCTCGAGAGGCTCAAAGCCATGCTCAAAGCCGTTCAGGTTCTGGCGCCGGGAGGCCGTGTCTCCATCTCAGATGTGCTTCGCCCCTGTCTCAGGAATGAGGGTCTGAAGGCACGTCCAGCAGTCCGCTCAGCAGCCCGCAAGGGCTCGTGTTTTGTCCCAGGTCTCAGCGACATCCCGTCAGAGCTGCAGACCGCCCAGAGCTATAGTTGCTGAGCCAGAGCCCCAGGCATGAAGATGCTTGAGCACACATGCCCACCCAGAACGTGCCATAAATAGTTACAACACCCTGTCTCGGTCAAGCAGCGTATGCTTGGTGTTGGGTTGACGCAGGCTGGCCATGCACCCGCTCAGGTTGCAGGAGCTTCCGCTGAAGATGAGATGTGCCGGGCTCAGCAAGACGCTGTGAGGGCTTTGCAAAGATTGGGATAGTTTTCACGAATGGCATTCACTGAAGGATCCGGGATCCCTTGTCTTGATACTTTCCCACACGCATGATCGTGACGGCCATCAGCAGCAAGGGACCCAAAGCCAGGGAGGATCGCCCGTACCAGGCGTGCCATGCTGACTGATGCTGGGCATGGCACTCAGATTTGGCATGTCATCTGTCACTTGGAGTGATGTCAATGATCGGCCGAGCATCGGAGCTCTTCTCTTTGCTTTTGCCAGGCCACTGGTTTGGCAATCGCTGAGTGGGAGTTGCACTGTGCGAGGTTCACTGACATTCAGATCCAGATCAAGGAGAATGCATCGGTTTGCGGCCCAGAGGCAAGACTTTAGCGTGCGCTAGGGGCTGCTTGGAGGTAATTTGGCTGGCGGGGTTAGCCTTCCAAACATTCCTTTTGATCCTTTCGTGCATCGATGCATGGACGACTTGCAGTCAACATAGTCAACAACAATGGCTTCTTCCGTGGATCCCTTGAGCCAACTGAAGCAGTGCAATTGAACACGGCTGCCGGGTTGCTGGGAGTCAGCGCCCACCAAGGATGTCATCAAGGACTGGATCCCTGGGTCTGGTGCTTGCATCTTAGCCTGGGAAGTGTGGAAAGTGGGAAGTGTGGCAAGTGGAAGCACTCATGAAGGGGCATGCTTGGCACCGACACTGCTCAATACCACTAGCATGCCCGAACACGCTGCAGGATACACTGGACATGAGCTGGGGTACTACTCATGCTGGCTGCTACTCATGCTGGGATAGAGCTTTTTAGACGCAACATGCTTGGCATGCCAAGCTGCACGCGGCAAGTCAAACGCATGCATCCTATTGGATGCCTCTCGGACAAAGTGGCCCACGAACTTGGTCCGAGAGCCTAAGGCCGAGAAGTACGTCACCAGTGCCTATGTTACAGCTACGAAGCGCGGCCGGGCTATGCGTGACGATGCCGAGCCCTAAGGAAATACATCAATTGCATCCATGTTGATGCTTTTGATTGTCAAGTTTTTTTGTTTTTCTCAGGAGGCAGGCATTTCAATGTGTTACAGCTCGGCTTGAGCTTGCCTTTGTGGATCTTCCTGAGGTCCGGCAGAGTGGCCAAGCCTGTTGTGCCAGGGGCCAAAAGGGGCGCATGTCCAGTGTCAGGAACCTGGCAAAACTTCCTTTTGGCGTAGGGGCAAGCCAGGAGATGCCCCGGCAAAAGAAACAAAGTGGGAGTGCGGCAAGTCAAAGGGCTCCTCCATTTGGCTTCTGAGAAGTCAAGTTTGGGTTTCAGGCGCCTGCGGTGCCTCTGGCTGGTGGCTCTTGCGGACCAGGTGCCGGCGGCCCAGTTCTGCCTGGAGGCACCAGGCATGTGCCACGTTGCTCACCTGGAAACAGCCTAGGCCTGAGGCTAATGGACGACTTCTGGGCAGCCGGGCGCTTGGAAGGGCTTGGGCAAACGAGAAGCTTGGGTGCCCAAACGCGTTGAGGGTGGAACAATGCAAGCCTTGCATGCTTGCTCTCTATCTAGACTCATTCTAGACTCTGTCATGCGTGTATCTTGGTGTCTGAGCGCAAGTCTGTGCTGCACAGAAACGTTGCGGCTACAAGCATCGCACATCCACAGTCAGTGACTGGATCGAGCGGCCGAGGTTGCTTGGAAGTCGTGTCTGATGCCGGGATGCCACATCGCCATTTGCTCCTTTCCTCTTTTTGTTCCTCAGTTTGTTTGGACAAGCTCTATGGATGACTTTGTTGCATGGGAGTTTGTCCGGCCAGTGGGCAATGGCGATGTGGTGTCCACGCCCGCCCACAACTCTTGCGGCCTGGCGCTCAGAGAACAATTGTTTGGAATGGGGAGGTTTTTTTTTTGGGGGTTTCAGGCCAAGTCAACGCAGGGCGTGTCATGCCTAAACTTGCAAGGGTCCAAGCAATCTCGGTCCCAAAAATTAAATACTTACGAACGCAGCATAGCGTAGAATACATTATGCAAATATGAACCCCTGTGTCTGTGTGTGTGCGCTGGCAGCCACGGGTGTTAGGCAGTTGCTGAGTTGCGAGCAGGTGGCCCCCAATGCATCATGAAAGCACGCGCGCACACAAACCGTCTCGGTCGCAGGATGGATGAAGCCGCGTCGGCAGTGCCGGGCGTGCTGACACTTCGCAAAGAGGTTGTTTTGGGGCAGTTCATCGTGGGACCCAAATGTGTAGAACATTTTAGAACTTTAAAGCCTTATGGCAGGCGACGGTTTTGCGGGTGACGAGAGGAAGACTTTTGGAATCTTTTGGACTTATTTGCTTGGCTGTGTCAGCGTTTCTGCGGCTGCCGCTGCATGAGTTTTTTGGCCGTGGAATCGGCTGCGAACTGGATGTGATTTGGAAATTGTTGGCGGAAAGGACGTCTCTTGCGCTTTTTTTCCAGTCAGAAGCACGAGGCGTTTGATAAGGCTTCCTGCTGCTGATGAAGCCTTGGGCACCATGTCGTGCCCAAAGATGCTGACACACAGTGGGAGCCGCGCAATGCCCGTGGTTCCAAGAAGTAGGTTACGATAGGTTATGCCAAGAGTGGCCAAAAGCCCAAGGCTCATGCAGGGGTTGCGTCATTTCAGTTCAAGATGCCAGCACACCGTAAAAGCACCAGAAGCTTCCCCTGCTGCCCAAACAGGCCTTTGTTTTTTTCTTAGCTGACAGCTCGCATGGTGAGGATTTCCGGAGGGGCGAGACAGCAACCCTTCCTCACCTCTTCCCATGCGGGTGATTACACTCGCCTTGTGCCAAGTCAGGTGCCGACCCATCTTGGTCGCCTGAAGGACCGTAGTTTCCGCCCGCAGGGCTGCTGCACTCAAGGCGCGACGTGCCCCCGCGCGTGACAACGGGTGAAAAAGGCACCGGTTCCACCGCAGCACATGAGAAAAGGTTTTGTCGCAAAAGATCATCAACAGGTGCATCAGCCACTGCATCAGGCATTGTCACGTTGCTTGGCTCAGCGTAGGGTCACGAAACATGCTTGCAAATTGCATCGTGTCTGCAGGGCCCACTTTTGATGAGTGTGCTAGCGGAACTCATCTGTTGCGGGGCCCAGATGAGAGTTCTGAGGCTGCATGGCAAAGCAGCAGACGCAAACACAAGAAGGGCCTGACAGCACCAACAAGATGTACAAGCACGGCAGGCTGGCACCATAAGACCAAAGCTTCCATGAGGTGAGTTGCTGTCCAACCAGGAAGACAGCGTGTATTGCTGAAATCTCGGGGCCAGAATGCTGGTTTCAGCACGGATTGGAAGACCTGTACACCTTGAACTGCGTTGCTCGTGTGCTCGTGCTTTGGCCTGGCCATGGCATCGACAGAAGCGCGAGCTGTGCCTTGGTCGAAGCTGATCATCGGGGTAGTGAGCTGCTGTTGTTGTTTGCTTGTTACTTGTGGCTTGTTGCTTGGTCCTTGCCGTTGGTTGCCCTTGGTTGAGTCGATGATCACGGCAGACAGTTTCGCCTGCGAACAGACTTGTCGCACTTAAAGGGTGGCTGCCAAAGGGTCCGCAGTGGTTGTTATTGGTTGTTGGTTGTTGGTTGTTGTTGCTTGCTTGCTTGCGTGCTTGCGTGCTTGCTTGCTTGCTTGGTTGCTTGGTTGCTTGGTTGCTTGGTTGCTTGGTTGCTTGGTTGGTTGGTTGGTTGCTTGTTGCTTGCTTGCTTGCTTGCTTGCTTGCTTGCTTGCTTGCTTGGTTGGTTGGTTGGTTGGTTGGTTGGTGTGGGTGGGTGGGTGGGTGGGGTAGGTTGTTTGGATGTTTGGATGTTTGGATGTTTGGATGCTTGCTTGCTTGCTTGCTTGCTTGCTTGCTTGCTTGCTTGCTTTGTTTGTTTGTTTGTTTGTTTGTTTGTTTGTTTGTTTGTTTGTTTGTTTGTTTGTTTGTTTGTTTGTTTGTTTGTTTGTTTGTTTGTGTGTGTGTGTGTGTGTGTGTGTGTGTGTGTGTGTGTGTTTGTCAGCCTTTCTGTTTTCTGGTGGGTCTGATTATTCGCTTGTTTGTTTCCTGTTGGTATTCATTTGTTTGTTCTCGATATGTTTGTTTGTTTTGTTCGTTGGTTTGTTGGTGTTGCTGCTAGCTTGCTTGTTTAGCTTGCTTGTTGATCTTGTGTGTGTTGCTCATAGGATGGGTTGCAGCTCTTCGCACAGAAAGTATGCAGCAGCCCCAGCCATCGCTCTTGTTTTTGTAGCTTGCATGACAGACGCGGACAGCCCGATTCCTGTAATTGGATTGTAATGGTTTTGCGCTGTGGCACACCTTTGACGGCACTGCAAAGTCTGCAGGCAGCGACGTGCAGGGCTTAGCGCAGAGCGGTGCTCACGAAGAGGGACCAGAGACGCTTGTGATTTGAGCAAGCCTAGGCCGGACGCGCCAATCCAGCCCGCACATGCGGGGGCGCCCAGATGCATAGGCCGCCTATGGCCATCGCAGGCGCTTAAGCTTTGGGCTTGGCTCCTCGCCAGGCGATGTTTTTGTTTTCGTTTGGGGGAGGTATCGCCAGCAGAGGTGAGTCAGATGAATCGCAAAGTTTGGTTTTAGCTACGGCGCCAGAAGCTTGAAGCATTCAGGTTGACGCAGGCAGGCGCCCGCGGCGGTCGAAGCCTGAACGGCCCATCCATTTTTTTCAGACCCATCAGACTGTTGTTTGGTTTTGGTTTGTGCATTGATGTATCTTCCCCAGAATTAGCTCCCTTTTTGTTTTTTGCTTTTTTGGGGTCGCTTTGTTTTCCAGTAGCCAGGCAAAAAGAGTTTTTTCTTGCTGGGGTCCTAATTCCAGACTAGGTATTTGCTGAGACGGCAGCCAATCAGTTGTGAACAACGCTCCCTTGCAGCTTGTATGTTGCCTATATGGTCTCCCTGATCAAAGATGAAAGCCAGTCGGCTGCGAGAATCAAATTACCACTGGCAGACGGAGCAAGGCATGCTCGTGCTATGATCAAAAGGATTAGTGGGTGTGGTCATGAATCATCACGGGGTTGAGATGCCGGCAGTGGGATGCCTTTTCAGACAAACATGCACATGGGCTCCATGCGTTCCCCGGACCGCGACGGGCCGAAAGGGATTTTGACCATGCTTCCGCCCCTGCAAGGGCCGAAAGAAGCTGGGGCCCAAGATGAGCCCATGCATTCTCACAAATGTGTTGCTCATTCTTGGCTTCAGAAGGAGGCTGTGTGAGCAACATGCTTGGATTGTTGAGTTGCCTTAAGGCACAGCAGTCTGTGCGGGGGGTTCAAAAAAAGGAAGGTGCCAGCTTTTGCCCAAGCGGTGGCCCAGCAAGTTGTGAGTTTCCGTCACTGATTTTCCGCCATAGTTGATGTAAACAGCGTGATTAATGATGTATCCGCGCCACATTTGCTTGGTTTGCCAGAGGCGGAAGCTTGCAAGGTCGGAGCCACATTCAAGTATGTTACGATACACTTCAAGCAAGCCTAATTGTGCGGAATCCAACAGGTGAAATCTGACAAGGCAGCTGCTTTTCGCTGGCAAACCCTTTCATGTCCTCTGGGCATTGGACCGCATGTAGAGGTCGATGCATGGGACCTCCCGGAAGAGGCAGGCGGAAACTAGCTTTCTGTGCGTGGCTTGGGGGCACAGGGTTGGTGCATTGGGACTCGTGTGGGAGTGTGACCGTCGAGTTCGCAACTGGCCAAGAGAGCCACCGGGCTGAAACCACACGGCTGCTTGCCATGCGTTGTGGCCTGCAAGGGCTAGGCATTGCATGTCTTGGCTGGACTTGTGGAATGGGCTCAAGCGCGGTGTCTGACACGTCTGCCGTGGGGAGGCCGGACTTTTGCGGGATGCAACAGCGGATGCTGCAAACTGCCAGCCTTGTTTTCACACCTGCGCCCCAGGTTGCCTGATGGTTTGTGGGCTCAGATGAGGCAGCATCTTGGCAATGCAGAATGTGACACCTTGCACGCTGTGGGAACAGGTAAGTCCCACCTTCCAGCAGCGCCCAAAATCCGCCTCCGCCATTTCCCATTTCACTAGGCGCACGCCGTGTGACCTACATGTGTTTTCGCATGTCGGCGGGGAAGGTCACGGCCTTGTTTGGGTGTTTTGTAGAAACCTCATTTTTTAGAGACCAGCGTGAGGCATGAAGTTGGCTATCAGAAAACAGCTGCGCTGTGGATACAGTGCTGAGCGGGTGATTTATTGGTTGGCGCGGCAATTCTAGTAGGGCCCACATAAGCCAACATGCCAACGTTGGTGCCGCTCCAACGTCAATGGGCTCGCTTGCGATGGAATCAGGTACCAGGCTGCTGCCTGGAGATCCTGAGCGCTCAGTTTGCGAAGATGTCAGACGAGGATGCCTCTTGGGAGCATGTCGGCTTGTCAGTGCTTTGCCAGGGGTTCGGCGGAGAGGATGCGCGCAAAACTAGCTTGGATCTTGCCAGCAAAGACCATGAGGCCATGACGAGGAACTTGTTCTTGTCGAGTCAGTCCTTTGGCAAGTTGCCCGGCAGTGCCAACAAGATGAATAACATGCTGCAAACCTTTAGTGGGCATTGATTCTCGACACGGCAATGACTTTCCGTTGAAGCTTCATTGTTCCTACTGGTGATCGGATGCGTCTTTTCCATGCATGATCCTCTATGACTCTATGTCTATCCCAGTAGCATTCAGTAGAAGACGAAACACATAGACATAAAATAATTGTTTGAAAGCACTTTTTGAACATTTATGCAAGAGGTAGCAGGAGAAAGATAGAACATGCTTAACTCAACAATGCGTTAAACACAACTAGAATGAACCAGTTTATCCACATCTTGCCTCCATTGGAGATGAGGAGAGGATGATTGCTATACTGGCTGTGGAACAAAATTGAACTTCTTGCACATCAATTGTACATGAGTTACCGTGAATACAGCCAATACGCTGTGACTTTCTCCAATCTCATTCTATTTCTCCATTCCTATCTTACTGGGGGTGTCGTACAAGCTATATTTGGTTTCAGGATCTCATTTGCAAGCTGGTGATAAAATTGCGGCTCGCAGCCGGGATATGAGGATCCTTCCGGTCTGTGCACAGGGACCCGCCAACCCAGGCCCAGGATCGCGGCGTTCACGGACGCGAGTCAGTGGATGCTTGGACTCAGTGGGCGAAACCGGAGCGGGAGGGTTGGCGTGTCCGAAAGGCCGTAGGACGTTTCAAGGCAATCCAACCTAAGTCGAGCATTCAGGACACTTCCCCGTTTCCACGCCTGTACAATGGTCGCGGCTGGGCAACAGCCGTTGAATGGGAGAGGGCCACTAAGAAATTTGCTTTCAAGCGCGCACCTGAAAGCAGGCCCGCCAGGCTCGTACAGATTGGAGCAGGGTTCCCCGAAATTTGTCCCAGGTAAATAGGTGTGCGTGTGTGTGTGTGTGGTTCCGTTTGAGCTTTCGAGAGCATACTATGTCCCTCCCTTTTTGACGGAGTTGCACGCTGAGGGCTTCATCGATGACGGTGAGGAGGTTCCACGACCCAGGCAGGCCTACAGACCCTTTGCCAACCTTGTTTAGTGTCCAAGATTCGCAGAGAATGATGCTCATGCCCTTATGCTGACTTGACTGCAGCCCTGTTGCCCTTGTTCTGCCGGTTGGACATAATTGGAGCTTTGAACTCTGACCGAAAGTCCTGGAGCGAGGGCCCTCACTTCTTTGAGCCAGGCCGCCTGGGCGCCCTCCCACGCGCGGGCGCAGCGGCTTGGACCAGCGAGATGCATTTGGATTTGCCAGGCATCCGAAGCCGAGAGAACTTCAGGTCAGCAGCAGCAGCGCCCTGGTACGGACCGCCCTGGCACAGACCGCACAGACCGCACAGAGCGCAAGGACGGCCGCAAGGTGGCATCTTGGACTTCGAACATCAACTTGCAAAGGTAGCAAAGCCGTCCCCACGCTATTGTGACGGCATTGCTGATCATTTCTGTTTTGGTGTCCCGAAGGCTTGGCTTTTGTAACTTCAGTGCTGGCGCACGCTCACGCAAACGCATTGGACGAAGAGATGGGCTTGGAAGTTGGAAGTCGGATTTGGTTAACCAGGCTTTGTGACCGAAGGCTGAGTCGACGAACTCAATGAGCCGCAGCTTTTCTGAGTAGCTCTACTCACATGACGCCACTTTGAACACTTGCAAGCAGAGGTGTCAGAGACATGGAAACAAAGCGAGCGGAGGTATCCTGCTCGGTTGGAATGAGGTCTATGTGGATCACCACCATGTGCACCACCATCACCACTTCCACAGTGGCAGTGATTGGGACGGTGTTTTGGAAGCAAGCGAGACTGGGTGTTCTGAGAGGAGGTGGAACGTATTTGGTGCCCAAGACAGAAAAGTTGAGCTGTGCCAGAAGCAGTCTTCCAAGAGCGTCCCACAAGATCCCACAAGTCCTGACCCAAAACAAGGCTTGAAGGGGTGAGGCGCATCAAACTGCTTCCGACTTTTCGGTGCCTGCGCCCAAGGGGCACATTGTAGCCATGGCCATGGCCAGTTGCCTTCCGAGGCTGCCCGGGGGACCTGCCACCGGAGCCTCTGCAGCGGCTCCATGAGCAGAAAGCAGAGGCGGAGGCAGAGAGGCCGTTGACCAAGGCTCGCAAGAGGCAAGGCATGGGTTGGTGGGTTGGTGGGTTGGTGGGTTGGGGTGGGGCAGGGTGCGCGAATTCTGCCGGGAAACGGCGCCCACTGGCGACCCTTTGAGATCCTTTGAGCAGACCCTGCAGGCGGCAAAGAAAGGGCCGCTCCGGAGAGGCCTGGCGTGAGTTGACACCAAGACCCCGATAAACCCTCCCTTGTGGTTTCCTGATCCCTGGGTTCAGTCCCGCATTTCCTACTGAGCACCAGCAAGTTCAGATAGGTGATTGCGCGACAATCAAGACGTGCGGCAATCCCAACTGGAGGCAGTCAACGAGATTCGTTTCTGAGCCGTGATGCAGCACCATTTCTCATTCCCTGTCTATCGCACCAGCAAGTGAAAGACTCTAAGCAGAGCCTTGGGATATCACTGGGCCCACCGTATGTTTCAGGCGCCCTCCGTCGACCTAGAGCTTGGAACCTCGCTGGTGTCGGACCTGCGGCTGAGCACCATGAGCAGCTTCGCAGGTGCCTGGTTTGCATGCCGAGACTTTGTGGGAGTAGGCGATTTTAGAAGGAAACCAAATGGAATTCGATTTTGAGGCTTCCCTCATGTCCAATTTCGGAGAGGGAGGCG